TCCTTTCTCCCCCTTCCTCCACTGTCCGTCACATCTTCACTGACGGGAGCTGCCTTTCTTATGACCCCCCTGGCCCTGACAATCGCGCAGGCTGGGCGTTCACCGTTTCTCCCCCCGTCCCTTGCGACTTAGGCCTCCTACAGGTCACTTCATTTGACATTGATTCTTTTGGTCCTTTTACCCGGGTCCCTGATCACAACATTCCTCCATTACCTCCACCTTCTAACAGCACTGCTGAGCTCCTTGCTCTCATTGAGGCGTTCGATTGGCTCGTCCAACAGGACGACGACAGCATTCTATATTCCGTTCACACAGATTCGCAATATGCCCTCGGGTTTCTCCAGGGCAGTTCTCAGCCGACCACTCACCACTTCCTTGTAGAGCAACTCCAATTGTATTGGGAAGCGGCGTCCACCCTCTTTCGAGTTACTGTCGGCCATGTCCCTGCCCACACGGGTATTCCGGGAAACGAAAGAGCTGACCAACTTGCTGCAAAAGGTCGATCCGCATGATCCCACATCGGTCGTTTCGCTTGCTTTCCAGCTGCCCCATACTCGCTCACAACCTTTGAGCAATCTTCCCAAGTTTGGGACTCTCTGTCCTTTGAAGATAAGAACAAACTCTTGGCCGACACCCTCCGCCAGGCTACATCCAAAAATTTTCCCCCTCGTCCATTAGAAATTCGCCGCCCTCATATTTCCCAACCCACCTGGGAAGCTATAAAGCGCCTCTCCAACGGCCAGACCCCTCCCTCTCTTGATTGCCGTGCTGAGTTCAAACGCGTTAAACATATGTTAAAGCGTGACAAAAAACGGCACCTTGCCTGTAATCTTTTGTCCGACTCCAGATCCCACCCTTCACAGCAATGGTTTACAGTCAAGCGCACCATGCGCCCTTTCGCGCCAAAACCTGTCAACATCAAGGATCTCCATGGCCAGCTCCAACCAAAACATCGTCGGGCGGACTGTTTCGCTCAATACCTTCGACAGAAGGTTTGGCACCATCGGGGCACCCCCGTTCTGGAATCCGATATCTGGGATCTGCCCTATGATGTTCGCATCACAGGACCCATCACTCTCCATGAAGTCAACGTTGCCATTCGTCGCCTCCGTCCTCGACGTGCTCCTGGCCCTGATGGTCTCCATCCTGAATGCTACATCCTGTCTCCGGTTGTTTTCCGTTATTTCCTAGCGCAACTTTTCACAGCATGCTTCAATGGCCCTGCGGTCCCAAAGCAGTGGATGCACTCATTTGTCGTGATGATTCCCAAGTCTCAGGCCAAACCCCTCACTGACTTGACAAACTACCGCCCCATTTCCCTGACCAACATAAACTACAAACTCTACGCAACAATTCTGCGTGCCCGACTCCAGCTCATTGCTGAGCAATACCTCCGACCTACTCAATTTGGTTTCCGTTCAGGCCGCTCCGTTTCACAACCAGTTCATGTCATACGACAAATTCTACAACTCCACGAACGTCAGCAGCTTCCACTCCACCTTGTTTTCCTTGACTGGTCTAAGGCCTTCGATTCGGTACCCCACGACAAAATTCTGTATGCTCTTTCCTCCCTCGATGTTCCCGAGCCCCTTGCCAATGCCATCATGTCTCTTTATGCTTCTCCTACCTTTCAAGTTCACGACAGTGGCTTCACATCAGACGTTCACCAGCAGTTAGGCGGTGTCCGTCAAGGCTGTCCTTTATCGCCTTATCTGTTCGTACTTTGCATGTCTGCGCTCTTTCGCCACGTGGAACTCTTCTACGAATCTCATTTCTCTCAAATTGCGGGCGTAATCAACCGTCCTTTCCCTTTGTGGGACCTGCAATATGCTGATGATACCGTACTCTTGGCACACTCACCTATTGCCCTAACCCGGCTGCTACACACCCTTCAAATTCTTGCTCTTGATTTTGGACTGGAACTCAATTTCTCGAAATGCGAACACATCGCCCTCCACTCGTGTGAGCGTATCCGCTTTTGTCCCGATCTGAACTCCGAGCAATGTCCTTGCAACCTCTGTTTCGGTTCAACGGAACCCTCAAACCTGGTGACTCTTGTCACTTCAGCCAGATATCTAGGTGCTCATGTCAACGACACTGGTTCCTCAGCGGAACATATCAAAAACCGCCTTTCCAAAGCCACTGCCGCCGCAAAGCTCTTAGGCGCATTCTTCCGTAATCAGTGTATTAGCCCCAGTTTCCGCCTCCTTGTTTACCAATCAGTTGTTCAATCCATTCTTCTCTTCACCATCGAGAGCATCGTCCCAACCCGAGCAGAGCTTGTTCGTCTTGATTCTGTTCACTTTCGTATCCTCCGGCAGATTTTGGAATCAAATCCTCCTTTTTCCACCGGGTTCTCCAGGATGACTTTGAACCTTGTTCCAACGGGTATTTGCAACAGCTAGCTAATTCCCAGGGTCGCCACATCTACACTCCCTCTCAGCTTGCGTCCACACGAAGGCTACAATTGCTAGGTCACATCCTCCGACATCAAGATTCCCTTGAATATCATTGTTGCTTTACTGCTTCCCATTCTTATCGAACCGCCCGGTCGGATTCTGCCAGTCGCAGAGGTCGTCCTCGTCCTCATTGGGCGGAGCTTACCCTCACTGAAGCATTTCGTCGGTCCTCTTTTGTTGCTTCCCCTTCCCCTGTTGATCTTTCTTCCGATTTCTTTCAATACCCATCTGCAACTGAAGTTTCCCAGGCTCATGGTGGTTCCCTCGCTTCTTGGTCAAATAATACTCCTCTCTACCGAACAGTCAATGTCAGAGCCAACAACCGATCCCAATGGCGAGTTATCACTGGCAAACTTCCTCCTTCCCGAAAAAATCACTCCCGGCCAACTATTCTATAATTTGTCTATTTTTTTATTTTCTAAGTTAGTCTGTTTGTCTTTTGTTTTATTGTTTTATTTGATTTTCGTTGGGTTTTCAACTCTTTGCTGCACTGGGCCGAACACAAGCAGGCTGGGGCTGACGGGTCAAACGTGGCCCTTTCGCTTCACAAAGAAAAAAAATGGTCCCCATCAGATAGATAGCTTCTGGGTAAATTATAACGACCTCACTGTTCTCCCGAGCCCTGGAATCATGGTTAATTAATAAGGGAAATCATCCCCTTTTATGGCCGCAAGATTCAGGTGAGTGGCATATTATGGCCTTGACCCAGATTGATGGTTAAGAATGGTTGATAATTGATAATGGGATTATGTATGATTATGTTTCATAGTAATGCTGATTAATGATCATATTAATGGATAGCTTGGATCCGTTGCTGTCCAGGTGGCCCTTTTGGCCTGTCAGCGTGCCCTGGTGGTCTACGACTTGGTCTGGGCCTTTGGTGCGTCCTGGGCCTTGATGGGCATCTATCGCATGCAGACCGTGCCTGACAAGGTGGTGCCAAACGTCCAAACGTGGGGGGTCGGGTCCAAAATCCATTGGGATATACGGATATACCATATTTTAGATGGGAATTTTGATGGGAGGTATATATATATATATAATATATAGATTATAGATGTACATTTACCATCCAAGAAATTGTTGGGGATGTTACATTTGATGATGAGATAATAATTGGGAAAACCAACCGTAATTCATGGGTTTTACAATATTGTTTTGGGATATATTGAATATATTGAGGCTGATTGAGGCTGATTGAGGACTATGTATCTCTCAGTGGTTTAAGTATCAGCATGGTGGTACAATGCTGATATACTGGGGAAACAACCATGACGGTCATGGGGAGCAAAAAATATGATCCGGAGTTCATGGAGATTTATAAAACCAACAAAGTTAAGGGGGATTTAGCCAAAAAAAACTGTAAACATATGCGGTTTTGCAGTAATCATATAAAAAATCAACAGTCAGAGTGGGATTTCACCAACAAACCCAGAGAACCCCAATGACAAATTTTTACCCGGGTAGCTGTGGATTATCACTATGTTGGGTGAAATGAGCCTGTCACGAGGTCTCGTTGGCACAAGATGAAAACGTCGAGCTTGGTGCACGCGCAGATGTCGATGCAGAATCCCTGGCTTCTATTGCTGGGAGATTCAGATTCGAGCGAATTTGCCTCACTGTAAAATTGCGTTGTCAATGTAGATGGAACCTGCAAGACTGGAGAAAATTCAAGGCAAACATGAGCATTGAGTGAAGCAAAACATGTGGTGTGCTAATCTGAAGGGCCCAAAGTGGATGTTCAAGCAGTCAAATATGTGCATGGTTCGTATCTTGAGAGTTGTGATTTCACTTAGTGGGGGTTTCCACTGATGGGTTGAAGCCATTGTCTTCCATGGCTCCACCATCTACGAAACAGAGATCTGCCAGGTGCGTTTTCCTCCCAGTGCCATGAATGCCAACTTGGGCAACTTGGCGCGCGGATGCTCCTACCTCGTGATCGTGGCCATGGTCGCTGGTGCCGCGTTGGCGTTGTTTTGGAAGTGAAGCGGAAAATCACCGGTGGATTTTTTTTGCAAAAGTGACCTGGTTCCGGCAATGAAAGATTAGAGAAAGCGTGTGCACAGAATTGCACTGGTAGACTGTATTTGTTTTTGATGTTTCTGCAAATTTGTGAAACGCCAATTGCTGGAACTGCACTCCGACCAGACGCAGAGACGCGTTGCCTGATCCTATTTTGCGCAGCAGTCATGTACAGGCAGATGCGACCGCACGATTTTCAGCACAGATAGAAATCTCTGCGGCCCGGTCACTCTCCAGGTCAGATGCGTAAGGATGGTTGAGGCCCTTTTGATGTTGTGATACCATCGTGGCCCCCCCTAACCGTTAATAACCCTATGGTAATCACATGTAATCACAATATGGCCATGGTTAAAATACGTAGTTAAAATATGTTAAAATATGTTAAAATATGTTAGAATCACAATGTTTCATCGCAAAATCACAGAACTAAATTGGCCATTTTCGCTTAATGCCCAAGTTGAGGGTAGACCGTCCGCAACTTTTCGAGGTTGAACTTCCCGGGACCCTCACATTTCGCAGGCCAACTATGCTGCTGCCAATGCGTATTTGGATGAACTGGCCCGCTTGCGGGCTGCACATGGGCTGCCTGCAGTCTCCATCCAGTGGTGGGGCGTCCGAGATATTCCCAGATGCAGCAGGGAATTGACATCCTTTGCCGCCCTTGCTGAGGGAGTTCCAGGTGTGCTGTTGATGGTGATAGTCATTGATGACTATGATTGTAGTTATATTCATTACACAGGATGATGGTGAGTGATGGTGAGTGGTGATGCCATCAGGCCTGCAGTTGCCCCGTGGCTGGAGGACAGCGGCACTCTTGAGTCGGGTTGGATCCCGTGGCCTCAAAGATGAGTGCAGTAGCCTCAAAGGTTTAGAGTCGTTGAAAGTTTAGAGTCATAAATTGCCATCTGCAAAACCATCTCAGATGTGTGTCATGGGTCGAAACCAATCAAAACCTTGGTTTCCACATCAAGATTTAGCTAGTACAGTTGGATGTTCATCCACCATATGGAAAACTATCTGCGGCACAGCCCATCCGCCGATCACGTGCTGCAGGAACCTGAAGAACCCCCCAGCGTGGCAATCTGGAATGGGATGCCCACAGGCGGAAAATGTGTTGGGAACCAGGCAATGGGAATGGAATCAAAATGATCATGAGAACTAATGATGTAAAACAGTGGACAAATGATGATCATAGGACATGGGAATAATGGAAGAATGGGATATGTCTAACCAGCAATATGATATAATCGATATAAGATGATATCAGGGTTGTTGTCAATAAGTTGAGGGGATACCCCAATTTTCGGACATTTCAGTGACCGATGATAAACCATGATTTTTTTTGGTACCCCTTTTTCAGACAAATCCACAGTTACCCAAACCATAAAGAGCAGCATGATCTTGGGCCAGCCCGGAGCTCATACCCTCCGCTCCAAGCTCCATTGCAGGTTTGGAGAAAAAGACCAGCACCAGTAGCATCAGCTTAGCTGTCGTTCGGCAGGGTGGCACAGCATGATTTCAGGCTGCAACTTATCTGGCTAGAAATCAAGCAATATATCAAACCCGAAGCTGCCCAATTGCTGAGAGTAATTAGTAATTTAATATAATGTTCCCTCCGTGTTTAGGGGCGGTTGGTGTCAGTTTCGCATTACTTGATTGAAAACAATGACGTATATATTTTTCACTGCAGTGAAGCTTAGGGTTTGCAGATAGAAGTTTCAAGGCCATCCCAATTTGTGTCCCTTTCTCTGTCAATTTTGCAGGGTCCGTTGCGACCATGTCTCCGGGAAATTATTTGTGCATACCGATACAATACCCATTTACCATACCAAAAACCCTTTGAACACATTTGAACACATGTTTCTGACTACAAAAGAGGTTTCCGAGAATTTGAGACTTTGCTATGGTAAAGCACCATTTTTCATCGGGAAATCATGGTAAAAACCTCACCTTTTCTTAAGTGGTCATGGTGGTTGAAATTCCCATCCCAGGCAGGTGGTGAAGCTCTCAGTGCTGAACTTGAAACCCATCGAACCAGTGCAGGTGCTCGATGTTTTCTGTGATGTGTTTGGGATAACTATGGAACATCTCCATTAAAAAATGATAGGGAGCCATGAGTAAATCATCTACTTTCATGGGCCATCTATACCATGGGTTTCTGTTTGGCTTGTTGAAAGGTTTGGGACAAAAACAAATTACCCTCTGGTTATTCAACAGTTTGCCATGGAAAGATCCACCATTTTTAATCGGTAAGCCATCTATTCGATTAGGGCCATGCACTTCCCAAAGGTTTCTAGGTACACCTTGGTGCGTCTGATCTTATCCTCCAGGCTGTGTTACCGGGGGCATACCTGTCATCCACCTCCCCAACAGCTGGAGTCTCAAGGGCGAAATCTGGAACGGATGAATTGACTGCGCAATGATTAAAATTAAGAAATATACTGTAATAGAAATTACTCTAGTAGTAGATTCCATTATATAGTGGTTTTTATGTACTCACTAAATTTCATCCAAGGAATTGAATGACCAATGTACTCATTTACCTATCATTTTAATGGAGATGTTCCATAGTTAGATCATCCAATGGGGGTAACCAATGCCATAATCGAAGCAACTTGACCCGCCGGTTGGTGGTGACTGGAACCATGGAATTTTAAGACTTTCCATTCAGAAAAGGGAATTTCATCATCCCAACTGACGAACTCATATTTTTCAGAGGGGTAGGTTGAAACCACCAATTAGATCCTCGATACGGCGAGAAACATTCATGGTGAGTAACTATTGAAACCAAATGAATTTGGTGAGAAACATTTTTTGAAATCTTCACCAAGCACTTGACTCAGAGTCTACAAAATCATAGAATTGGATTATGGGAAAATTTACAGGAAAGCCCTATATTTGATGGTAAAAACCATGGTTTCCTGTAGATTTTCCCTTAAACCAATCCAGTGAGAATAACATCAATTTGACGCTGGGGTTTTTATCTTCACCAAGAGTCACAACGCTCCAAGGTTCGAAGTCTCCTCCATCCATTGCTGGCGCGCAGCAACAAAAGACAGGAGCTGATTTTCGGGCAGATGCGCTGTCAGATGTGTAAATCGCACGCCGGGCTATTTGGAGCTGTTTTTCAAAATGGTGAGTATAAAACACCTTTCAAATCGCAGAAACTCGCGAGTCAACTCCAGGAAGACATGCAGAGACAAGGTCATCACATAGGGTTGTTTCAAAAGTGGAAACTTGGATCCCATTGTTGATAATTATGTTCCGCATCAAAAAAAGTAACAAAATGGTGCAAGCCCCCAGTTTTTAGCCCCAAATTGTTGCTGGCCGTTTTTTTTTCATATTATATATAATTATATATAAAATTATATATATATATGTATGTATATGTGTACATATGTATATATATATATATATATATGTGTGTGTGTGTCCCACCGTATCCACTGTATCCTATATCCCAGTATATCCTCATAGAGTATCATGCGTGGTTTAATACCCACACCATTTCTCTTGGTGACATCAAATCCACAGATGTTGTTTGATTGCACTAAATACTGATTGTTTGGTGCTTGGATAAGTTAACCACCAATTTTTGTTACTCAAATCCCCCACAATTCCGGACCCAGTAACTCAGTATTTTCTATACAGCCAACTATCAGATTGTTGCTTCTATCCCAATCAATCATACTTGGTATCTCCATTATATTATCATTATGACATACCAGTATATTTGGCTGTATTTTGACGGTGAATCCATGGTTTCAAGCTCCATTTTCACCACAGACATCCATCATTAAATCCCATGATTGTCCATATTGAAACCTCCATTGAACCATACATGTTCACAGATCCTCAATATACCCATTAACTACATAGATCTACATATATAGTATATATTCATTTCACGATATTTCATGATATCTTAATATTGCCAACTTCGAACCACTTCCAGTACCCATAAACCCAACCCATTTTCCAGCAGCCATCGCTGCAGGAGAGCTCCATGAGCCTGTCCGTCGATAAGGGATCCGGGCTTGGGGACCCGGAATCTGTGAAACGACTCTGAAACCATGGGTGGTCCATGGTGGTCCAAATGGCCATTGAAAAATGAAGGAAACATGGAGCGAACTTGTCGACGTTGATCCATTGGAATTGGGGGATATTTTTATGGCCTATTTTCAGAGATGATCCAAGTGGATCCGAATGCAAAGCTGGATATTTTAAAGGAGTTTGAATGATTGGAGGATTGAATCAATTTAGAGTTCTTTTTTTCCAAATCAGGAATAAATTTCCATGATTTTCCATGATTGGATGTGCATGGGGCACGGGATGAACAGACCAGCAACCGACTGCGCTGCATGTTGCTGCGTGTGATGTCATAGTGTTACCATTGATTCATAGGGTTGATTCCATCAACAAAGTCGAATGTTGCACCAGAAAACATATGTGGGATTTCAAATAGTGGGAGATTCCCAAAACCATGACTTTCAATGTTAAAATAATCTCATTTAGGATAATTGGGGGGGTACCCCCCTTTTAGGACTCCATATATGGGTGTTTCACTTAATGGTATGAATTCTGCGGACTCTGCGAAAAATTGAAGTCTGAAGTCATGCTCGACTGGTGGCCACCCTAAGGCTTCCAATTAGTGGGACGAAGCTGTGCCTACAGCTGACATGAGCCCAGTGGCCGTGGCCTTTGCGACAAAGTTTCCTCTTGCTTCCATTTAATCATTTAGTAGGTCGGAATCCAATGATGCCACCAGTAGATACATCTCATCGCCACTGACCCGAAAAAAAACGTTGTTTCCTGAGTCGGCATCGGTTTTTTTTGTTTGACGCGTGTCATCGGATTATCCTCGCTTCTGGAAAACGGCGTGCGATGAAAGACCTCTGAAGCCTGGGCCTGGGTCCTGGGTGTTCATGATATACCAATGATCAATGGATTGGTTTAATTACCTTAAATTATCCATCGATTATGTGGTTTTGCTATATGATATATATGAGACTGGCTGAAGGGCTCAAGGATCTGGGCCAGATGCCGATGAGGACAACCATGAGAACAAGCAGCAAGTAGCAAGAACAGCCACAAACCAGAAGCAACAAGCAGTTCATTTGGTTTTCCAACGGAAAATCAGGCTCAGTTTATTGTTTTTCTCATTGCTAAAACTCACAAAAGCATACAAAAGCCAAGCTAAGAAGATGATCATACTAGGGGGTAGTGCTTTAGCATAGGGGCAAATCTTTTCCAAGAAGATCTGCACAAGATTTGATTTGGGAAAGGCACAGCTGTCGTACCCTCCTGCCGTCTCACGAAAACATATGAGATCCATCTGCTCCTGATGGAGAAGCCAGGAGAGCAATAGAACCCCCACCTTAGCCTCAGCCTCATCAGCCTCAGCCCAGTCACACACTGCGCAGCATGACGGATGGCGGCCTGAGTTTTGGCGCAGCCACCGAGGGCTATGAGGAGGATCCACAGGCAACTTGGCCCAGTGGCCATGTGGGCCATGGAGACATCTTTTTCAACCCAGACCGCCCAAGGCCAAGCTTTGCAATGAAGTTTGTGTGGAGGCGGCATGGGGATACAGGGATGAGATGGGATGAGCCTATCAGTATAAGATAGTACAAGGATGAGTCAGATGGGTGCTTTCAGAACCTGTTTCTGGACACAATGGTTTGGTTTACAATGATTAGTGTTGAATAATTGGCACGGGGTTATAGTTTCCCCAACTAATGAATCGGATTGAACATATCCCCAATCAGGGTTATATGCCACTTACTGTACAGTAAATGATGCAAAATAGCTCACTTCTGGCCAGACCACTAGGTGCCCACACTAGGTGCCCATCCACAGGAAAATTGCAGATTGGTGGTATCAATGCGCCCCATTCACCCCCACAAAATCTAAAAGCCAAACAATGGTAGTGTCATGTAGTGTATGAAGAGTCAGGAGCTTCCAACAAACCTCGAAAAAGATGAGGCTTCGTTGGAACCTTCACCAGAGTTGGGTCCATGGCTTGTTCCATCGCTATCGTTACGCACAGACCCCGTGATTTGCCCACAGAACATTGTAAGAAAACGAATAAATTTCGAATGAGTTCAAACACAAGAGATGAAATTGTGTTGACGAAGTGATTGGCAAGAGAACTGTGCCGCTATTAGGGCTTGTTTGGGGTTGACATACAATATGAAATATCCCACCCCCATGGAACAATTAACCGTACCGCAATTGGGTTTTCATTGGGGTGTACATCTAAGGTATAAAATATCCCACACCCATGAAATAATTAACCATGCCGATGCTTCAATCATCAGCATTACCATCACCATCAGCATCAGCATCACCATCAACATCAACATCATCATCATCATCATCATCACCATCATCATCATCATCATCATCATCACCATCACCATCATCATCATCATCATCATCATCATCACCACCACCACCACCATCATCATCATCATCATCATCATCATCATCATCACAGCCGTTTCCAGTTCCGGGCAAACCATAGGACCTTGCCGTATCATTCGGTCCTATCACTCCTATCCTGGCGAACACTGTGTGATATCACCTGGTCAGCGCAACAGTACTGGGTAGATGTTGTCTATCCCAAACAAAGATTCACAAGTTGATAAAATCATGGTCCGATTCTATGAGGTAAACAGATAAAGATCAAGTAAAGTTCAGTAAAGTCCATCAAAGTCCCATTTTTCTACATCTCTTTGGCTTTTTCAGCCAGCCACATCGACACATCCCCCTGCAACGCGTAGGTCTTTGGCATCCTGCAGAAGATGCGGAACCCTGTGGCTTCGGCGGAGCAGGGGCAGTACATCTTTGAAATCGGCGGGGGAGATGGGGCAGCTGGGAGGTGTTGGAGGAGATATCTCCATAGATCTATATATATATATAATTATACATATTATGTATATATATATATTATATTATGTATATATGGGTATAGTATCGTTAAGAGCTTTTTGCAGTGTTTGAGAACTTATATGAATCATAGAAGTTGCGCACGTTTCATAGGAGTTGTGCACGTTTCACAAGCCCCCTAATAACGTTCGTGTTCAACTGCTGCGGAATGGACTCAAAACCGAAGCTCTTAATGATACTATACCGGTATATATATATATATATAGATATTTATGATATTTTTTTTGATCAGATATCCAGTCTATAATAGATAAATTTTCCATAGATGTTCAATGATAATGACTTTGTTACTCATCAGATTCGATGGGGGATTTGGTGGAGATATACCCTCTGGTTATGTCAAAATGGCTATTGAAAATGGCCATTTATAGTGAGTTTTCCCATTAAAAATGGTGATTTTCCATAGTTATGTTAGTTTACCAGAGGGTATCCAATGAAATCATGCCATATTATTTTGTTGTTCATATACTAATTTGATGTTTGTGCGGAATCTTTGCCTTCAACCGTTGCTGGGAAACAGAACGACTGTACGTTTCGGCTGATGAGGTCTCAAGTTCGGTTGGTGTTCTCTTCAAACCTTGGCTGAATTCTCCAAATTTGTTCAATAGGTACTGTGGCTCTTCTTGGTTTATTGCCAATTTTTATTGGTGAATTGCACCCGAACTACTGCTGCTGTCCCCCCTGGCATTAGCTTACTATTTCTGGATATGGCTCCAGGGGCACCATTTTTTTTCGGTGCCAAGCTCCAGAACCCACATTCGAGCCATGCCCATGTTGGGTTTGATCCAAGTGTTTGCGCAGCCGGTAATTTGACCCAGACGCCTCTAGAGTTTTTTTCTTCACACCAGTTCACACCCGTGTTTGTTGATGAATATCGCCCATGTTCTCAATTTTTGATACCCATAATATCCCACTAGATATGATCTATGTTTGTTAGATCTGTTAGATGCTACAATATTCACTAGATATGATCATAGTATCCCATATTATCCCATCAATGGTCATATGGTCATCAAATGATGTGGGTGTGTCTGAAAATAGTGTACCCCTAAACCCAATGGTTTTGCTGATCATTATCCCTATTAAATGGCTATTTCACTGGGAATATACCCTATTTTCAGACAAACCCATGTGTCAAAATCCCCCATTTTATGACGACACCGCAGGCGCTGGGACCGGTGGCACGACCTCCTTCGTTCTACCCTCCTTGGATCCGCACAAGACCCGGCGCCTTGGCTTTGGTTCAAATGGTCCATGACTTGGGCACCGGGGCACCGGGGCACATCCATTTTAGGACATAAACATAGCTATGGAAAATCACCATTTTTAATGGGAAAATCCACTATAAATGGGCATTTTAGGACACCTCCATTTTTTGTTGCGGTTTTCTGTGGCTGAATTTTAATCAAACGTCCTAAATGATATTCTCTAGAGTTTAATTTTCTGAAGGATGAAGATGTCAGATGTCAAAGAGCATCAAATGTGATCAGCTGGTCAAGTTACATGGCGTCTCTAGGGGTTAATGCCCATATGGTTAAGCTAGTTTAGGAATTCCATTAATGATCATGGGATGACTATATTCATTAATCATCATTAATCCCTTTATATATGTGTATATATTAATATACATATACCATGATTTTTTTGATCATGGCACGCATGTCCTTCACCCTTCGCACGTCGATGGCCCCAGCTCTGGGATTTTCCAACCATGGAGCTGATGACCTGCTGGGCCCGGCAGGTATGTCTTCACAGACCTTTCCCAAGCGTTCCTGACGAATGCGAGACAGCGTTTCAGCAGGCGCCAGTTGTAACAAACAATGGGAGGGGGCCGATGAAGCAACAAAATTATGGGCTTTAAAGCCAACCATAATTGTGATGTATTGGGATACACCATGATGCAACCAACAATACGATATTTGGGTGTCAATGGGCTGCGCCTCCAAGTTATGCCCATTTCAGTAGGAAAAATGATGTTTCATCAATGACTTTAGGGGCATCACATTTTCAGTCAAACCCAATGGCATGTCACTAGATCTTGTCTTGCAAAAAGCCAATGTAAACGCATGGACATGCCAAATTGGGTTCTGAAAGTTAACACTTTTGAGATGCTGATTGCTGTTGGATACACAACAAATGAGCCACCATCCACTGATGTTTTAGTGCTGTAACTAGGCTGTAACTGCTAAATTGGTACCTTTTCGGAATGGTTGGTATTATACTATATATATATATTATACTATTTTTCAAATCGTTTATGTCACGTTCAAGTGATTCTTGCAGATGATACCCACTTTTTTTGGGTGATGTTTCAGCTGGGCCCAGCCGTCGCTGAGTCCAGGTTTCCCTTCATCGAGTACGCCATTTTTAATGGAGATAAACATCCTGGAGACCAGGCGCAAGGGCGCCAGCCAGGGATGCCCTGGGAGGGTCAACCATAAAGAAAATGGCATCATACGTTGGTTCCACGATATGGAAAATCATGGAAAATATAGGATGATAGTGAATGATAGTGAATTTTTTTGTGAACAGTTCGACATGTCGCAGTCTATGATTAGCCAGCTTGGAACCTCAAAATGCACCGGCATAATTGTCAAGCCAACTTTGCCAACTTGAGGAGATTCCATGGTTCCATGATCTCCCCTATTTCTCAAGATCTTTCCCATCCATTTCCACCATGACCACCATCCAGGGCTTCAATAGCCACGAGATGACGGCCATCTTAGCCACCAACGTGATCCACGCCACGATGCACCTGGCCTCCACCATGGCCACCATCCACGTCCTGCTGCAGCCGGGGGGGCACATCGTCTTCAACGAGGTGCAGAATCCGGGCACCCTCGGAGAGGACGGCGTTGGAAGGGGACGGGGAATGGATGGTTGGGGGATAGTGGGTGGAAAAGGTGGTGATGATGATGATGATGATGATGATGATGATGATGATGATGATGTTTTTTGGCAAACTTGGATTGTTTAAAACTCCCGAAATGCTACCTTCTGTTTTGATTATGTACAGATATCACTGCTACTCCCTGGCATTGACAGGGTCTTGTCACAGGTTGGAACCGTGGAGTCGGATCCTGTCGCAGTTCCTGTGATTGTTAACTCAGTGACTTAGTGGGTTTTGAAGAGATTGGAGCACCCCATAGCACCCCACAGTTTCAGAGGATCCCAACAGTTTTTCCGAGTACTCTGCTCTTGGGTTGCGGCCCGCAGATGTTTCCGGGCAGCGGCTTGCTGCATGGCAGGACTTGACGTATGGTCTGACGGATGGCTGGTGGATGCTCACGGATTGCGAGAGGCCGTTGAGAGGAAGCCATGACGTCAAGGGATAGCCACTTAGCCAGCTAGTAATCCAGCCAGCTTGATGATCTTGACTTTGACAGCTCATGTTTGGGGTGTGTAATAGTAACATACTTTATGTAAACCAAATTGTTGCAACATGCCAATCCGACCTAGAAGCTCCCCCAGAGTTTCTGGGCTGGGCAGGCGGGTGACCTATCCGTTGCTTCGGGTGGCAGAGTGGTGCACTCTGTTCACTCAGTGTGGCTTCAAAAACGTCTGGCATACTCCAGATGAGGCTGGGGGACAGGGCCATGGTCCCCGATAGTACCAACATGTACCAACAATCGGGTTCTTATTCAGATCCGTATCTGCTCATTTTCGCAGTGCTACGGGGTATGGATCAATGCCAGTGACGGCATAAGCCTGATGCTTAGAGACCATCTCCAGCGCCAATTAGCCTCCAATTATTTCACAGGGATGATAAAAATTCATGGGGCTTTACCACATTGACCCCATCTCGGGTTCGAAACATCACATCCCGACATGACCTGGACGTCCAATCATCCCATAGAGGTTGACATTTGGGGAATGGATTCCACCGCACAGCCTGAAGTGTAACCGCGTATGATATGAATCTCCATGGTAGACTTGAAAGAGATTTTCAACCCCATGCTCCATGAGTTTCAGGGTTTCCCAACGTGCTGTAGCTTTTGTGAGATATAGCCTATAGCCCTTTGATAGTGGGTCAATACCAAACACCAGAAACATCGCGACTTTTCAGTTCCAAACACTTAATACTGACTCACAGCAGATGCATTTGACAGATATTTTTCCGAGTGGATATGAGCCATGTGTATCCATTCTAGGATCTGGAAACTCAACGTTTGGAGGGTGCGCTTTGGGCTGCCGAGGGGCCCATCTTTAGCCAACAAGCGATTCTCGTGGCGCAGTGCGGAACGTTGGTGGATGCCTTAGCGATGTTGACCAGGGAAAGCTCCAATTTTGGAGCGCGTCTTGGATCTCATGTTTGTTGGACTGGTTTTTTCGGGAAAATCTTCACCGGAAAGCATGATTTTGACCATTGAATATATGGGGGTTTCCGGGTCCAGTTTTTTCCCGTAAACCAATCCAATGACATGTCTGTTGGTGAACCGTAGGGGACCATTGAACCATATCATTTTTCGACTTATTCAAGTTTGATGTTTGACCTATGTTGTACTGAATCTGTTGACCAATCTGACCAAGTCTGAGGTCCTGACCGCACAACCATGGGCTGTGATGGGCTCATAATGACCTGAAAAATCAAAAAAAGCCTCTAATTCTAAAGATTCTCAAATCCACCAAAATCCATCATGTCACATGATATCACATGTACTGGTTGAGAACCAAAAAATATCCCAACAAACTCCCAACAACCCCTGTGGCGTTGGAATCGGCGCATTTGACCTGGCAGTTCCGCAGGTGCAGCCGACCTATTTGGGTGTGGATCCTATGCCCCGAGCCGATCCCAATGCGTCTGGAGCCCAGTTGCTGGAGGATTTTTCACCACATCACCATGCAATCCATTGAGATAGGTGGAAAATGGATGAACTTGGTGGAAAACGAGCAATCGGACATTGGACATGATGAAAAAATAGCAAGAAGAGTGAACCTTTCAGCTGATCCTTTCCGTTCCTTGCAGTAAACCCAATAGTCAATCTGCCATTTGGGGTTGAAATCCAATAAACAAGCTGATGGAATGGGGATAGTTTATGGCATTGGGCTTACCAACATTAGTCAACTCGAGTTAATTAACCATAATGATGATAATCCAGTAATCCATTGGAATTTGGGGGTAGCCTAGACAAATCCATATGTCATAGTTTGTCATAGGAATGAAGTTAAATGGGAGGTATCCCCATATTTATCAATGGATTTTCAGATAAAAAAAACGGCGACTGCGCTGAGGTCGTATCTGATCACCGGTGCAGTTGGAGGTCTAGGCCTTATTGCTGCCATCATCCTAATGGAGCGAGGTGCCATCCAGCCTGTGGGACGAGAAAATGGGCCGATGGATGGGGGGATATGCTGCTACTGATGATCCTAGATGTACGGGTTGGTGGTGACTGGAACATGGCTTTTATGACTTTCCATATATTGGGAATCATCATCCCAACTGACGCACTCATATTTTTCAGAAGGGTAGGTATACCACCAACCAGATATATATTTTTAGATAGCAATGATAGCAATTTAGAGGTGAGTAATTTTTTTGGCCTGGCATTTTCATTTTCGGGTGCATTGAGTTCAGGTGAGAGATAAAACCACCGGATCCGTGATCGGAATCCTTTCACTGAAAGGTGCGCGGCACCTCTTCTTTGTCTCAAGAAGAGACAAGGCCCGGTACCGGAAGGGCTAGAAAGTTTGGGTTTGGACATGGCTAAACTTGAAAACTATCACAAAATCAAACTATATTGTAGCACAATATAGTCAATATCAAACTCCTCAAAAACCAACAACATAGCACACAATTAGTACTTAAGATAGTACAATATAGGCAACTACTGGTACAGTCAATACCAAAATAGTATAGTATAGTATAGTTATAGTATAGTATAGCATAGCATAGCATAGCACAGCACATACAATAGCACAGTACAATATTATACTGGTTGGTGGTTTCAAACATGGCTTTTATTTTCCATCTATTGGGAATTTCATCATCCCAACTGAGGTGCCTGATGAGGCCATGCAGTTTTATGAGCGCATTGCCGGGGCGCCTAGATGCCAACGCAAATGGGAAACTGGGGGAACCCCAGAAATACTAGGGAAATACTAGGGAAATACTAGGGAAATATGAAATACTAGGGAAATCAGGTTCGATATTCAGATCTATCGATTTCAGGCTGTGTGAATTGTGGATGTTTGACCATCTACTGTAATAATTGGATCATGGGAACACAACTCCGAACCCCCCTTTTCTGTGGGAACACAAAATCCATGGGTTTCCTGTAATTTCAAAAGCCATAAACATCATAAACCATTCCAGTGAGGTAGTTTCCAGCCGAGGCCAATGCTAGTGCCGCCATTCGCCGGGAGAAGTGTGACTTAGCTTCCGAAGCTGTGAAGCTGTGAAGCTGTGGTGAACTCGACCACTTTTAATCGATGAGCTTGACATAGCTTCACCTTTTTTATGGTTCTAAAGCTGGATGATCAAGCTGCTCATTTTTTTAATCCAATATCATACAATATTTGTTCATATCTATTCTCCTAGGGAATCTGAGTGTCTTGATCATATTGGATTTTCTACTATACATTGAAAAAGATAAATAAATCATGAGCAGGATTCTAGATTCTAGAGCAGGATTCAGAATGATAAATTTGGTTCAAATTTGATCCAGTATCTATTGTTTGAGGGCCTCTGAGTTGTTTCTAGCTTGATTGATTCAGCTATAAGTTATATGTATATGCTTTATTGTGGTACAAAGTGAGCACCCCAAAAAATGTGTTCTGACCAGATACTTGGGGATGTTCACCCAATCTTTCTCCATGTTTGGTGATCTGCCTCCACTTTTGCAACCAGATGGGAAGGTCTTGACTTCGTGGTGTCAGACATGATTTTTTCTAACTGGGATGATCATACCGACTCACTAAACGGTGATTATTTCTGATTGGACGGAACCAACAACCAGAGATGCTTTAACTAAACATATTCAAACATGGCCAAAGTTCATTTTGACTCTGCCACTCGGCCGTATCCAACAAGTCCCATGGTATCCAACAATATATTTCAATCATGTTCACTTAGCAATTCACATCACGCTGGGGTATTCCATCCCTATGGACCCAAATACTGAGAAGCTACTGAACCCCCCATAAAAAAAAGCCAAAATACTTCCAGAGAAGGTACGGCTGGATCCATAGGGCATGGTATTCCCCACCCATCTCCATCGCCAGGCAACGCCGCAGACCCCGCGCAGATCGCGAAGCTCTTCGAGGAAACGCCGGAGTGGCCAGCGTGCGTCGGGGGGCACCGAGGGCACTGTGGGGGGTACGGGAAGTGATGGCTTAAAGCAGGGGAGTGTGTGACCTATAGGGGTTAGGAACCCGACTGATCTGACCTCAAGTCGAACATCGCAATTTCATGGGATCAAAGATGTGGATTTGACTCTGGGGTGAAACACCATCTGTTGATGGTGTTTTGATGGAGTCTTAAACCCAAGTGATGGGGATATCACTGGGCCTTGTGAACGAATCCATAACAGGAATAGCTGATGTGCTCACTCGGCGGTTCATCCCAACTATGGATTTGTTAAGTGGTCAATATCCTGAATATCCCACATTTTGATGGTTTATGATAGAGAGCCTTGGTCTAGCGATCTTCAGCTGGTCATGAAGACTTTTAATTTAACCGACTGATTCTAAATTATGTTTATAGCTATTGATAGTCATTGATGATTTTTCTTTGGTCTGGTTTTACCCTTTTTTTGAACCATTTTGAAACGTCGTAACGTAACGTCATTTTCTGTCACACCAAGAAGTGTTGGCCAAGTCCCAAGGGATCCCCCCGAGGGATCCCCCGTTGGAGTCGACCAAGGCCGGTGTGGTGCATGCCGCTGGCGTCTTGTCGGATGGCACGATCACGAAGCAAAATCGACGGAAGTATGAAGAGGTGCGACCATCCGGCACAAACAAACAACATATGGGTATGGATCAATACCTATTAATACCATTTTTAGGGGAATGAACATCCATAAATCCCAGCTATTTTTAATGTTCACCACGGGTACAAGGTTTTGACACACTGCCATATATATATAATTAATTATATAATTATATATATATAATTATATATATATGTTCTGTTGATGTCTTAGAATCAGGGGTGCCTTTTTTAAATTTGGGTGTTTTTTCTGTGGGCTTTTGCTCTTTGGGCTCTTTGGGGCACCCGGATTGCAGGTCTTTGGACCCAAAGTTCATGGTGCCTACTACCTGCTGGATGCCCAGTTTCTGGGATCCTGAAGGTAGTCGCAGTCAGCAGTCCATCGTATACCGGGGATTTTCCGAACGTGGTGTAAATAGATGTCCAATTGATGTACATATTTTTTCTATAACATGAGAACATAGTGTGAAGACTGTTTGAAGATTCGAGTTGATTGTTATCTACTCCCACGCACGAATGCTATTCACCAAGACCTAAGATGTGGGGGTCTGCGTTCAGGCACAACAACCGGGGATGCGGCCTGCAAAAGCTTCAGGTGCCTTCCATCTGGATTGTCTGAAGATTGGATACCCCCAATTCCAATGGAAAGTTGGCCATTGGAGGGTATACCCCAGTTTCAGACATGATGTTCATGTTGCATCCCCACGTGGGATCATGAACAGTAGGTGGATTAGCATCTCTGCGAAACGTAGGATCAAAGCAAGCCTTGAAACCACCAGCAAGTTGATGTCGGAAAATCTATTTCCATCTATATTACATGCATCTATGTGTTTTTTTGCTTATATTTCAGTTGGACGCACGGTATATCATGGTATCCTCCCATTGAAGCCACGTCATGTTCCAACATCTTGACGTTCCTGGCGCCAGGTGAACTTCGTTATGTCCTCTGGTGCGGGTTTCATGGGTTCTCCCGGGCAGTCTGCCTGGCACGCTTGAGACGTTCCTGGAGTCGCTCATGACTTGGATGGCTTGGATGACTTGGGGGTACCCCCGTGACTTCGGAAACCTCCAATACTTTCCGTTCTGAAGAAAGGAAAGCTATCATGATGGGAGATGATGGGAGATGATGGGAGATGATGGGAGATGATGGGAGAAGGAACATGAACACCTCGATGACCGTCGTCAAAAAAACATATTCTGAGCCTAAACCATGGCTAAACCATGGCTCCAGCGGTCACCAGTCACCATCGCCAGCGCCAGGAGTAACCACTCCTGTGGTAACATGGGCCTTGAAGGCCTGGTAGACTTTGAAAGGAAGTTGGGCCTCACTGGGTGCTCCATCGCTTGGGGCGTTGGGGCTGCCCAGATCTGCCAGAATCCATGCGCCCAGTGCAGATGCGGTAAACCAAGGCGTTCAACTTGGAAAGGTATCCAAACTAAAACCCTTGACCTTCCCTGAACCAAATGTTTCATCATGAATCATCATGTTTCATCCCTATAAAAACACTTGGCAGATTTCACCTCTTTGCTGTGGAACAGCCGGCCACTTATTTTCTTTTCGGCGCTGTTCAGGAAAAGCTGCTCTTTTCTGTTGAGTTGTGTCGATTCCGTCAACTTTTTCAAAGGCATCTCCAAAGCCCATCACCCACTTTTTGATGATTCGATCCCCATTTTATCATAGTGGGTGATATTAATAGACACTTATTAATATGACTATTATGTTTAATAGATGATATTTAATAGATCCCCATAGATGATCTTATTTATCTTTAAATTGTCATTCCATCTCAATCCCAGTATTTGCTGGACAACTTCCCGCAACCAGCCGAGGCCGTAGCTGGAGTAGGTTTGGGTGCCCGGTCTGCGATCTTTACCACTGTGGAACTGTAGAAATGCGACGTATTTGCAAAACATTTTCACGGGTTCCTGTATCGATGCAGGTATGATCCTGTAATTATCCTATATAATATTACATATCCTGCATCATATATACAGGTATCCTGCATATACTGGATACGACTATGGTATAATATACAGGTTTGGTTCCTGAATACTAATAGATATTATATCATGCAGGTATCCTGTATATAATATTTGTTCCTCTGTGATCCTGTATGATATATTATAACATAATACTCTGTATCAGTTCTGTGCATTCGGCTGTGTAAACCCCTCAACGTGCCCTACAAAAAATCCGGTAACTCCGGTAACCATCCCAACGTCAATTTCCCTGTCTTCCCAGGTGCATGAGGATAGTCAAAATTTTGGGATGGCTTCAAAACCTATATCTTTTTCATGTGTAATTATCAGTATCAATGTAATTATCCACATAGAAATCACGAGATATAACATAACACACCATAGCATAGCTTAGCACACACCATCTATTGCTTGAACATGAACATCCAGCAAAAAATCACCAGCTGTTTTCGGTTGGGTCTTCCTGTCGCCCAGGCTATGCCGCGCGTCACCACTTGGCGGACCATGCCGGGGCGGTGCGGTTCGAACACGCCTGGGCCTGCATTGAGGTGCCGCGCGCAGTGCCGTTCGGAAGCGGTCCACGGTTTCTACCAGCCGGGCCGGGTTGGGCCGATCTATGGCCGTTGTTTCTTTTGATGTTTGATGCAAACAGGGAAAGGGTGCAAGAACTATCAACAACTTCTGAAATAAATATCTATAATTATATGCATTTATATTATAAATAAATTATAAACAAACAACATATATAGATAGGTAGTGATGTAAGAAACTATGGTAAACTCAACCCAGCGGGCCATCTGCACCCCAAGTCACCATATTCCAAGCATAGATTCAGGGCATCTTGGAGAGACCCTTCCTGAACGTCCTGATCAATCCCAGCGTGGCATCCTGAGATCTGGCGAAGTGCTGATACGAAAAAAACTTCAGTTATTGGTGATACCAAATCATTGGGATATACACACACATATATATATATATACTATACACATCACATACCAGTAGTACCGCACAAGGCGGTGGCGGAAGTTTCAAGGACAGGACACTATAGGAGAGGTGAGTTGTTGTGATGCATAGATGCCTCACCCACAACTGATGGATGTAGTGCGGTGTAGTGCAGTTGTAGTCGTAGTTGTAATGTAGTGTAGCGGAGTTGTAGTAGTAGTGTAGTGTACATAGTGTAGTTGTAGTTGTAGCTGTGGCATGGTGTAATTAGTGTAGTGTAGTGTAGTCTAGTGTAGTGTGGCCTAGTCTAGTGTAGTGTAGTGTAGTGTGAAGTAGTGTAATTGTAGTTGTAGCTGTAGTTGTAGTGTAGTGTAATTAGTGTAGCGTAGTGTAGTGTAATGTAGTGTAGTTGTATTTGTATTTGTAGTTGTAGTGTAGAGTAACGTAGTGTAGTGCAGTTGTAGTTGTAGTTGTAGTTGCAGTTGTAGTTGTAGTTGTAGTTTTACATGTAGTTGTAGTTGTCGTGTAGTGTAATGTAGTGTAGTTCTAGTTGTACTTGTAGCTGTAGTTGTAGTTGTAGTTTTAGTATAGTGTAGTGCAATCTAGTGTAGTTGTATAGTTGTAGCTGTAGTATGCTGTAGTTGCAGTTGTAGTGCAATTAGTGTAGTGAAATGTAGCGTAGTGATTTGTAGTTGCAGTGTAGTGTAGTGGTAGTTGTAGTTGTAGTTTTCTATCTATCTGTCTACCTGCAAGCTTGAAAAAGAAGCTATTCTGCAAGACTTCTTCAATTTTTGACCTTGATAACGTCAAAAACGAAGCAATTCTTCGAGACCTCCTCAATTTTTGAAGTTGGCAAAATCAAAAACGAAGCAATTCTGCGAGACTTCTTTCAAAAATGGAAAGTTGAGTGCAGAGCTGACGGCCTCGTGCCAATGCATTTTGCGATTTTTCCACTCCACCTGTCTAAAGTATTGCGCCTGCCACGAAAAATTGATGCTGGGTCATGCGAAGTGATGCACCTGTCAAGCAAAATCATCTTAGCAAACCCGAAGAACTGACGCTCCAAGATGCAACCTCTCTCAGGAAATCAGCGCCCCAACCTCCTAACATCTCTGATGAACATGTCTCTTGTACTGCGGCTGCCACGCGAAATGCATCTTTCCAGATCCTCTGCAAATGTCCCACGCCTGCCATCGTTTTTGGAAATGCCACAAAACCCTCACATTTGCTCACCTTTGACAAGGTGCATAATCCCTTGCGCCTGCCACGCAAAACCACATCTGAACGTCCAAAAGTGCTCCGAACCCGTCATTTTTTTACACTTTTGATTTCGACATGCGCTTCGCGCCACAACAGCGTGCATTTTTTCGATATCTCAACTTCCAAAAGTAGTCCGAGGCTGAGGTGCTTTGTACATTTTGACTTGGAAATGTGCTTCCCGCCATAGCAACGTACACTGTTTCGACACCAAAAACTTCCAAAAGTGCTCTGAGACCGTCAGTCTTTAACACTTTTGACTTTGAAACGTGCTTCCAACACAACGGCGTGCACTTTCCGACATCTCAAGTTCCAAAAGTGGTCCGAGCATGGTGTGTTTTGTGCATTTTGACTTGGAAATGCGCTTCGCGCCACAACGGCGTGCCACTTTTCATCTCTCATTTGGCCACATGGCTCCGCACCCGCTGTTTAGCGAGCCTACTTTTCGACCCTCTGGAACCACAACTCATTGGAAAAACACAGTGTTTCGCGACTTTGCTGCCTTTTCGCACATGTGCATCTTCTTTCTTCTGACTCTTTCCCTTCTGTGATCTTCTCTGATCTTCTCTCTTCTTCTCTTCTCTTCTCTTCTCTTCTCTGACTCTTCCCACCTCTGCTTTTCATCTGTCCATATTGTCGGAAGTTTGACTTCTAAACTTCCTGCGAGACTTACACATACAGCCTATTACAATATTATGTGTGTATAGCTTTAGAATATGCAATTTGTGTACATGTTGTTACAGACGGTTTGATGTTGCATTGGTAAGTAGCGGAGACTTGCCGTTTTCGGAGGCCTGGGAGATGGGAAAAGGCGCTCAAGCGATGAGACAACTCATCTCGACAGGCCGTTGGGGACACAAAATAGCCATAGATTCTGTTGTTTTAAAGGGGGTGGTCTTCAGGATTGAAGCATCTTGAGAAAATTTTGAATGAACTTTCAGGAAGTCATGTTGCTTATCAGCTCCAACTGTTCCATGCGTGCATGGGATCCGCAAGTATCATCAAATATCTGACAAGGTCCGAATATTCAGGTGTTGTGTTGTGATCGGTCCGATATTTTTTTTCTTGAAATGTCCTGCATTTCAACTATAAATAATAAGTATGAGTCACGTCCTGGGAATGTTGGATGATGGTCGGTACATCAACTGTCACATTCTCTATTGAATTTCAGTGATCCCCATCATTCGATCATTCTGAGTCTCAATGTCAAAGATCATTGCAATTATCCCACAAACATAGACACATATCAAATGGTCATCCTCTAGATGTCCATAGGAACTGCCCAACTAGACACAGCAGCTTTCAGGGGTTCATTTCCCTGAGTGCGAGGCTTGGCTGGTCGCTTCAAGAAGACCGGTTTCCGCAAACCCAAGGCTGTCCAAATGTTGAGGACCCTGGTGTCCTTGTTAGGTCCTTGTTAGGTCCGCAAACAGCATCAAAAAACTACGAAGTGGAATGCTGACCCCCTGCAAGATGTTTTTTTTTGAAACGTGTAATTTTTTTGTCAAATCCTCGTTTTCCATTTGAAGCATCATCTGTACCGCTGAAATCGACATGAATCACTGCATTTTTTCTTCCAACCAATTTCGATTCCCAATTCCAATTCAACAGGGAAACGGAAACATGGTATGAACATATATGAAGAATTTCAATCATGTAACTCCAATGTTAAAGATATCTATTTACATGATATTTATAGTATTTTTATAGTGAATCCCTCCAAATCATAGGTGTATCAACTAAGCCATGGCGTATCATCCAGGCGGCTTCACAAGAGGTCGTGCAAAACACGGAGATTCAGGCTGCCGGGAAAGACGGTGACATTGTCCAAATGAAGCATTAATGTTTGGTAAAATGTTGAATGTTAAACATGGTAAATGATGGTTTATATAATGGTTCATATCCCCAATGTTTGAATTAAATCTTAGCTGGACCCATAATTTGAATGGTTGATTGTTGGCTTGAACGATTAAGATAACCCATGATTTGAACCCCATTTGATGGTTGATTGGGTGATATGAACCATGTACCCAGCTGATTGATTGGTACATTTGAGTTAAATGATGTTAAATGGTTTATTTCAACCAACAAATTTAATTTAGTTTAATTAACCCTTAAGATCAAACACCTAAATTGAATCATTAACTTAAATCTTAGCAGGTTGATTGGGTGATATGAACATATATGAACCATTTACCCAGCCAATGTGAAGTTATTAAGATATCTTGGTTGATTGGTTAATTGATGTTAATTGGTTGGTTAATTTGTTGGGACTTATACTGCCTAACTTATTAGTTGGAGATTCTGATAGACCATAGTAAGGAAGCATATCAACCATACTATATTGTAATGAGATGGTTCCATAATGTTTCCATCTCATGGTTGCTTTTAGACCGAACATTACCTCACTTTTATTGGTTGAATTTGATATTGCCCACATAGTTTGTTGGTTTAAGATCGTTCCCCCTATGTTTCATGAATAATTTCCCCATGTCTGACGTAGTTAAACCCCATAGTTTGTTGGTCAAGATCCCCTAATGTTGATCCATACCCATGCGTTTTCACCGGCAGCATGGTAGGTAGTTGAAGCGAGGAGCAGGGGCACGGGGTACAGCTGTGGCAAAGATGCGGAAAGATGGTGGACCCTTCGGTAGTTGAAGCTGGGTAAATTATAACGACCTCACTGCGACCAAACGTCAAAATGACGGTTAGTAGGGTTAAGTATCCCAAAATAGCCTTAAGAAACCCTGAATTTCAGATTTGTGAATTATTAGGGTTTGCCCAGATACAATAACATATATAAAATCGCTTAAAAAGCTTTGGACTCTCCAGCCATGTTAAATTCCCGGCGCGCGAATCTGCAGGACCTCGGACAAAGAGAATGTGGCAGTGGAAGGCATCCCTAATTTTTGTTCAGGTGAAACATGTGGCAGCAAAGATGATGATAGAATGATGGGTGGATGATGGATTGCAGTGCCAATGTCATCAAAACCTCAAACCGGAGCGATTTTTCAATATTGGTCATGCATCTATAATGTCAAACGTTGCACTTTGCTGAGCTCATTCAAGCGCTCCAAGTCGATTTTTTTCAACATTTCATGAACATGACGCCAAATCTGCAGCTTTTTTTTGGTTGATGGGCAAATTCATCAGAGATTTCTCGAAGTTGAGTCCCCTCCATGGGCGTGTCGCATGTCGCAGGCCATCCAGCCGAGGTGCCCGGCAATCAGGGAACAACATGGATGCCCCATCATGTATATACTAATTGACAATAGTTAATCTAATATAGTTAATGGTTATTTATTTATAATAGTATAATTATCAATGTGAGACATTTGAGATCTATTTAATAGTATACCCAGTGTGGTCCTATGAAAGCCACTGGAACCCACGTCGCGGCAGGTTCTGACCGTGGCCATGCCAGAGGCAGAGCTGCATCTTTTTCCATGTTGAAGTTCCCTTGAAATTGGAATGGACATGATTCCTCCTGAAAGCTTATACATTAGATAATAATAGATAATATTAGATATAGGAAAACAATTTTAAATATTCATAAGTAGGACTAACAGCAACTATTTGGGGGCTGTGAGATGATCCACTCAACCCCAAGAAAATATGAAGACATGAAGCCAAGCGTTGAACGACGAAGGTGCTGGAGAGCATGAAGAAGATTCAGCGGGGCTGGAACGTGTCTTGGCTCAAGGGGCTGTGGTGTGTCTCAATTTCATGGATTTTCAAACAACCATTAATCATATGCTATTTAAATGGTATGTACCAAATGACTGTAAAAATAATCTACAAAATCATTTAGCATGGCGGTTGATATTTTTGGCCCTGCACACATTTACTTTTTAGAAGTCATGGGATGGTTTCTGAGGTTTCCATGTTTGATCAATGAGTAATGAGTATACTGAGACATCTGGGAAAGTATCAAATTCACAGCAACCATTTCAGTAGTTCCCATCAACTCAATGGTATTTCAACCAAATTGATATTTTGGTAAACTGCTTGAGATCCAGGCTATAGGAATCGTTTGCCCTTTCACACCAGGTCATGCAGATCCTGAGTGTTCAAGAGATCGAGATATCGTCGACACATGAAAGAAAGCAACAATGGGCCACCTTTTCAAAAGATCCGTTTTTTTTCAGAAGCAGGTCGCAGTTTCCAGTCAAGAAAAATGGTGACTAAATTGGGGATTCATTCAGATTTGGCATTTCCCAAGTTTCTTTCAATTCCAAAAACATGTTGCGGGGAAGTGCCACATCCTCCATGGGAAGTTCTTCAAGGCAACCCATTTGAGCGACATCTTCCCCAAGGCGGAAAGAACTCAGGTGATGCGAGACATGTCATACAGGGTATCCAAGTATCAGTGGCGGATCCAAAGTCAAATGATATCCAATGATTAAAGAATCTCCCACACTTGTGGTTCCTAAAATGTTTAAGAACGCCTCAGATATTGTGAGCCGTGCAAATGCCGACTGAAATACAACACATGTTTTTGTTACTGCCAGTAGCATCCAGTACTTCAACAGTTAGCTGCGGCGTGGCTTGTCCACCCAAGGCGGCTGAATATATTCCGTTGCTGGGTAGCATGTTAAGTTATAACCATGATCGAGAATGTAAAGTCGTGTTTAACATTGTTTAAGCATGTCAAACAACATGTTATAACCATCTTGTAACCGAAACACAACGACTTTGGCCCCATCTAACCACCAAGTGTGGTGGCCCCCAACGGCTGGGCCAGGACTCTGTCAAAGTGCTGGGCCAGAAACTTGGCGAGAACGAGATCTATTGAACTGGCAGCTGATTGCGCGATCAGTGTGCCGAGAAAAAACTGGCCCCACAATGGACCGGGCTGGATAGACGGTTGCGGTACCACAAATGGTTGATACTTGTGGTACCATTTGATCAATTTCGGAATAATTTTTGGATTAGATGATTGGATAATTTTTGGATTAGATGATTGGACGATTTGATTGATTCAACCGTCCATACCGGTATTGGGGCATTGGATGCCTGAGACTTGGCTTTCGATGCCACGGGCGACGGCAAAGACCGTGGACTTTGATTTAACCGTCGACACTTGGGGAGACCAGAAATAAGACAACCAAAACAAGATTGCGGGTGTGATGTTTTGCTGCATATATCATTCATTGAATATCACTTCAATAAACACTGTACAGCTGTACAGTATGTAAGTACTAAGATTACTAAGTCACTAAGTACATTTCAGACTCGTTTCTGCATGGTACAGCGAGGCTACGTCCAAATCCATCCTTGTTTTTTTGGGATGGATTTGGGCACGTCGGACACGTTTCTCTGGTGTCCCCAGGCAGGTCTCTCACAGAGCGCTGTTTAAACAACGAAAGCCTGCGCATCCTGGTGAAGCCGATTTGGGTGGAACTAAGTAGGATCCGACTGAATGTGACTGAGATAACCCCAGTTGTAGGCATTGTAGGCTATACTATGTGTATTCTATGCCGAAAAACGTGGAACCATCTGGAACCCAAACGACCTCTTTTTTTATTGTGGATGGTCATGGTTATGTCAGAAGCCTGCGGCCATTTCTGTGGCCGTTTCCATCGAAGTTGCTGCGGGGCGAAGCTGCCGAAGCCGTGACGCCCAATGGTGGGGCACCTCGGGGGACGGGACGTGGTTGTGGCGGCTTGGTGGCGATGTGGCGATGGAGTTGGTCATGGATATAGTGGATATTTATGGATTTTCTATGGATATTTACCCATTGCACAAATAGTATCAAATAGTCATGTAATGGGGAGTTACAACACAGAATGATCAATTGCTGGTAGAATGTAATGTAAATATATGTAAATAATATATATATATATTTACCCACTTATTTATCCAGTCACGAACTAGGATGCACATAGATGGGTCAACTGCAGTTGAACCTGTCCATTTCTTCGCCGTTGCTTGCTGATCAGCAGCTATTTGGCCATGGCCTATCAGCAGGTATTGCCTCTGCTAAACCTGACCAACTTATACCAAAGAATCTCCATCATCGGTCGTTTCGGTCGTTTCATATTCCTTTTGCCACACACACATCATTTTAAGTTTCGAATGTTTCGCCATGACTCATGGTTCACCAACCCAAGGATGTTCATCGGATGGTGGGGGGTTAAGATGCCCTGGGAAGATGGGGCTCCACCCAACCAGGAGATATTAAAAATCAACTCACATTAACACACTTAATATATCTTAACATATGATTGCTAGATCTAATCTAACATATACAACACAATACCCTTTGAACTAAGATGGATATATTGATCTACATTGATCTATATTGATCTGTACTGATCTATATTGATCTATATTGATCTATATTGATCTATATTGATCATATGCTAATATTACCATATCCTATTGGCTATGGTATTGTTTACACATGTGCCATGGTTGGGAGCTAGGCCCAACTTGACCAAGTCCAGGTCGAATGCCATGCAGCGCTCATTGGTGCGGCCATGGGTGGTGCAGGTGACGTGTCGAGAAGTTCGATGGTTTAAAAGTTGGGCATCACCAACCATAAACAATTGGAAAGTTTAAGGTTTAAGCAGCCAAAATTCATGGAATATATTTTGCTCAACCAAAACCATATTTTGATATATTCACGTCGCTTTGCGACGGCAACCGCCCGCACCGCATCGTTGGGCAGCCGCTCGTAACTGCCAATGATGTCGGCCATTGAGACCAAAAACATCCGAAAGTACTGATTGTCGGAAAAAAAACCGCGAAGAATTTGATAGCCATGTATAGCGGACCAACGCAGTTCAAAAAATAACGAAAAACATGAAAAAACGGCGAAATTGCTGTTATTTACAGTGTTTTTGCGCGGTGAGAAGCAGAAACCACTGCAAATACCATGGTTTTTGAGGGTCAGGTGGCCAAAAACACTGTAATTTACAGTGTTTTTTTAACCAACGTCAAAAAACACTGGTATTTACGATGTTTTCATTCACACCGTAACATAAAACAGCGTAATTTACGAGGTTTTTGGAAGTTTTGAAGCTAGCCGTCAAGCATGCAGAAAACAGAAAAACACTGTAAAAACCAGTGTTTCTGCTATCACAAAACGACGAAAATCAGTCCGAAAACGGGTCCAAAAACTCAAAAATCCGCCTCCGGGCCCGGCCACCTGCGGAACCGCAAAAAAAGATGTTGCAAACCAAAAAATTGAGGTCAAAAAGTTGAAAAACACGGGTTTTTTTCACTTTTCGCTTGCCGATTTTGGACGGGCGCGTTCACGAACAGGTGTCTTCCGTACTGTTTTTTACAGTGTTTTTTGAAGGCGAGCGTCACGACCTATCAAAAACAGGAGGTTTTGGCCGAAAAATGGGACCCCCCCCCAGGTAAACCTGTAACCTTTTACGAGTGCCATCCGGAAGATCACGCCCCAGCACCTTCGGTGCGGGCGGATTTTGTTTATCCATCCCTACCTGGGATATTTGGGAGGATCCAATTGACCAGGGTTGAAGCCAGAAAAAAACTGCCCACCCAGCGATGGCAGTGCCAGGACCTTTGCTGATGAATGGTATAGGCCGGCTGAGGGTGGCTGTGAAAGCTGCGATTCGGAAGCGATTCTGGGAACCATGACGTGAGGCAACATGAGATACCCATCCTTTTAAGACCCAAATATTATACTGTTGGATATATGATATTATATTATATATACACTGTATTGTATATCAACATGATCATCATGATCTTTGGTTGGCTTCATACCCCCATCACTTTGTTTGTTCATTATTCCTTAATTGAGTTTCATTTATTTTTTTCATTCATAAAACATCAAAAACACAAGTTTTGATGGATTTTTCATGATTTTTCTATGGAGAGAAACCTTCCCCCAACCCCACCTCCCAGCTCCCTGTTCGAGCACAGGCCGAGCCACCGGCATGAGCCCGGAGCACACTGGGGATCTGCACATGCCACGACAACCCGTTGGAGTAGCTTGGCACCGTTCAACGGCGCTTGGTGGCCCCAAGTTTTTTTTCTCAGGTGTAACATGATGAACATGGCTAGAAAATATATATATCATTATATATACAATATATAATATATATAATATAATATATAATATATATATAATATATATATAATATATATAATATATATATAATATATATAATATATATATAATATATATATATATAATATATAATATAATATATATATATAATATATATATATACATTCATATACACTCATATAAAGAACCTTGGTTTGACTTTCAAATGTATTTGAAATGTGCTTCGCGCCAAAACCCGGTGCAATTTTTTAACATCTCAACTTCCAAAAGTGCTCCGGACACGGTGTGTTTTGTATGTTTTGACTTCGAAACGTGCTTCGCGCTGCAGCCGCGTGCACTTTTTCGAGAGCTCAACTTCCAAAAGTGATCCGAGCATGAAGTGCTTTGACCCTGGCTCCACACCCCTTTAGCGAGCCTACCTTTTTGGACCCTCCGGAGCCACAAAACATTGGAAAAACACAGTGTTTCGCGACGTTCCTACCTTTTCTTGCACCTGGATCTCTTTTCTTCTGGTTCTTTCTCTCTGACTCTTTCTCTTCTCTGACTCTTTCCACCTCTGATTTTCCATCTGTCTACATTGTCAGAAGTTTTCCCTAAACTTCCTTCCAATAGTTGATTACCCTCTGGTAAACTAACATAACTATGGAAAATCATCATTGTAAATGGGAAAACTCACTATAAATGGCCCTTTTCAATAGCTATTCAGTTTATTCCCATCGCAATCATTGACCTTTTGGACACCGAAGAGGTTATCTCCCTCTTCGGCGCCCTTGCTTCCGCGAGCAGCGCGGCCTTCGCCACCATGGCCTTCAGCGTGCCCTGCGGTGTGGCCGTGGGGGCGGCGCCTGGGATCAACGGGGAGAGCTGGGGAGCTGGGCTGAAAAATGGTGGTCTAACAAAATGTGACCATATCTTTCCAGTGGCTAGGAGGGAGCTAAGGAGCTATGGGTATTCATATTCCCTATTAAATGGGGAGCTAAGGAGCTACCAAGAGTTTCCCAATCACATACTAGATATATTGAAGCAGAGTAAACAGAGAAGGTAAGGGTTTGCAAGAGGAAAATTTAACCAAACCAACATGTTTGACTAGGAGAAAACTTGAATTTTTGCCAGCAAACCACGGGGACTTCAGGGGTTTTAATCATCCAAAATTGGGATAAACCATATATTTTCATAAATTGCGAGACATGTCCACATGGCAAGTTTAGTTCAGACATGTTCATAAGTGGTGATTTATCCCAAACAAAATCGGATTTTTCCAACAAAACTAGCACAACACTGTGTTTGTAACAAAAAAACGCATTGATTTATTCAGTAAAACATGGGATTTGGCCAGCCAAGATACGTATGAACATGATGATTCTGTTTTTTTCCAACAAAGGTTGGTCCGTGATTGGGGGATCGAGTTGGTGAGGGGGTTAAACCAGCAGACAACGGACGTTCGACCAGGTAAGCGTGGAGAGTTGACCTGACACATAGCACATCACAGCATCAGTTTCTATGTAAGCTGTTTGGTTTTTGAGTTTGGATGACAGGGAGTTCTCCTCCTTACTTTACAAGTGAGGCCCGACCGAGACAACCCCAATGGCTGCCCAGGTCACTGCGTGTGTTGTGACAGGGGTGGGTTTGACGGACATGCTGAAACGTGGCTCGGCCGCCAGCGACATATAACTGGGGCGGGTGGGAATCAATCGTAATTCCGGCAAAACCTTTGACGAGTAGTTGTTAACGCAGTGGACTGGTGACGTTTTGTGGGATTTTTTGGAATTGGGATGGGGTGGGGTGGGGGGTTATACCGCTCTTGTAAGTTGCAACACGCTCTTGATGCTACGCTCAAAACTTGTTCAAGTAAATTGTAACACGCTCATGGAGTTGGCATGGGATGGGGTTGGATGGGGTCGGGGGCAATAACGTTCTTGTTGCTACGCTCTTGATGGTATGCTCTGTACTTGTTCAAGTAAATTGTAACAAGTTCTTGATGTTACTCGTTTAGCTTGTTCAAGTAACTTGTAACATGCGCGCGGAGTTGGCATGGGGTGGGGTTGTGTGGGGTGGGGGCAATAACGTTGCTGTTTTTTTTTTTTAACGCTCTTGATGCTATGCTCTTTACACATTCCAGTAAGTTGTAACACGCTCTTGATGCCAAGCTCTTTGCTTGTTCAAGTAACATGTACCACGCTCTTGATGCTATGCGCTTAACTTGCCCAAGTAACTTTTAACACGCTGTTGATGCTATGCGCTTAGCTTGTTCAAGCAACTTGTAACCGCTGTTGATGCTATGCTCTTAAATGCTCTTAATTTGTTCAAGTATCCAGTGCCACAGTCTTGATGCTTCACTCTTGCAAGTGGCTTGCCAAGCAATTAAACTTCAGAGCACATGCAAAAGTCATAATGTTGTGGACACGCTGCTGAGATAAACGGTCTTTCAGCGGTTTTGGTGATGGAACCAAGCTGTGGATGAAAAAATCACACCTTCAAATGGTTGTCATGAAAAAGAAGATCTCCATCAGCTGCAGATAGCATGAGGTTGCATCATCACTGTGTCCTCCGCACACAGTCCCCACGCCACTGCGTGACCTAGTTGGTAAAACCTTTGATGAGTAATTAGTTTCAATCGCAGTTGTTCTTATAAACATGATGTGTTTGTTGAAATTCATGAAAAATCCATTCATATACACGTTGAAAATTGCCGCCCCCAGTCCCGCATGGTGTTTTCATTCTGGCATCCATTAACAGCATCTGCTTAAGCCACCACCCAGGGCGCAAGATCTTGCTGATGCAGCCCAAGGGCCGACGCAGATGACCCGGGACAAAGATTCCTGGAATCATAGACCTGGCAACCAGCAGTTGGGCTACTCGCCCAAATCCCTCACTTTATGATGTTACAAGTATAATATGTTATAATATGTAATAAGTACTATATAACATATACCAAAATTATATAATGTTGTAAACCGATATAAGCAAACCCCAAATTCACCAGAATCCATCCCAAATCGGTTGAGTTTACAATTTGGTTTACCAGCTGCGATCTGGTTGCCTTGGTGCAAAACGCACCAATCAGGTGGACCGGTTGACGCAACAGAACTGGAGGAAAATTGAAGGTGGATCTGCATCCAAAAGAAACACTACTCGAGGATTGAGTAGTGTTGTTCATATGATCAGTATAGCAATGTTTCAAACAGTTATGTTGAGATAATCTTTGTAGCAGTGAATCATTGTACTTGCATATGATATGATATGTTTCAAACATTGGGGATCAATCTATACTGTATAGTATAAATGCAAGTATAATGATGATTCACTGCTACAAAGACTATCTCAACATACACATCGCGGTTAATTACGCACTTTGGCAACATGTTCTGAATTGTGAACACCAGTTTGCCGTGTTGAGTGAGACACTCTGTGGCCTGGTAGGAGTACCTGATGCACCCAGACAAACATTGCATCCTGAAAGGGTACATCAAACAGCATAACCCTCTATTGTGTTTGATATGTTGTCTTCTTGTGAAGTCATCAGCGCTGACTTTCTCCAGCATGAACGTGTGGCTCAGACATACTATCGCAAAACCCAAACAAGTAAGCTTCCGGTGTGGTATGTCTTAAAGTCGAACATCCACCATTGTCCATCCACTTTTTGAACTCAAACCCCAAAGGCAAAAACTTGTGGATTCGGAATTTGGAACCAGCACCAGCCAGTGTATTCAGAAGTGTTCCTAAAAAGAAGCAGACCACAGACCACAGACACGCAATTTTACATGACTTTACATCCCAGATGCTGGAGGGTTCGCTGCCATGAACTGCCGCCTTTGAGCTCCAGCTGAGCTCCAGTGGTTTGTCCCTCAGAAGATTTGGTTTCCCTGGGCCAAAATCCCATCTAAAATCCCATCCCAACTGCTTATGTGTTTACTACTCCTACTCCTACTCCTGCTACTCCTACTCCTACTAGTGATAATAAGAATAGTAGTAGGAGTAGCAGTAGCAGTAGCAGCAGCAGCAGTAGTAGTAGCAGCAGCAGTAGTAGTAGTAGCAGTAGTAGTAGTGGAAGTAGTAGTAGTAGTAGTAGTAGTAGCAGGAGTGGCGGTGGTAGTAGTAGTAGTAGTAGTAGTAGTAGTAGCAGGAGTGGCGGTGGTAGTAGTAGTAGTAGTAGTAGTAGTAGTAGTAGTAGCAGGAGCAGGAGCAGGAGCAGGAGCAGGAGTGGCGGTGGTAGTAGTAGTCGTAGTAGCCGTAGTAGCCGTAGTAGTCGTAGTAGTCGTAGTAGTCGTAGGCGTAGTAGCCGTAGTCGTAGTAGTCGTAGTAGTCGTAGTAGTCGTAGTAGTCGTAGTAGTCGTAGTAGTCGTAGTAGTCGTAGTAGTCGTAGTAGTCGTAGTAGTCGTAGTCGTAGTAGTCGTAGTAGTCGTAGTAGTCGTAGTAGTCGTAGTAGTCGTAGTAGTCGTAGTAGTCGTAGTAGTCGTAGTAGTCGTCGTCGTAGTAGTAGTAGTCGTAGTAGTCGTAGTAGTCGTCGTCGTAGTAGTATAGTAGTAGTAGTAGTAGTAGTAGTAGTAGAAGTAGTAGTAGTAGTAGTAGTAGTAGGAGGGTTTATCTGAAACTAGGGCGAGCGGCCTCCTTATTTTGTTCAATCATCAACATGTCCCTGGGTATTCCCCAGGAATGACACGGAATGACAAATCCGAACTGTGGGTGGCGGGGTTCCAGAACTATCACCAATCCCCGGTCCTCACACTGGAAAGTTGGTTTGGGGCTCCAGACTCACCTGGCCTTTGGTGTCGCTCCGTGCAGCATTGGTAGGTATTGGTAGCTGAAACTATCTGAAACAAGTGATTTGGGGTTTGTATGACACCAGGTTTTGGGCCCCAGATGATGGAAAAAAACACAACATGGTGGTCGAAAGGCCATACCCAATGATACATGCGCTTGAAGTTTGACGTGCTCCAATCTTTGGCCCGCCCAGAGCAGTTTTCTCTTCCACTTTACTTCGCCTCAGGGCTGGTGGAAGTTGGTTGGTTGGAAATGTGTGCGGTTGAACCTAGTCACTTTTCTTCAGGATTTTGTTTGGCTCATTCAATCACTAATATATTTCAGGTATTTGATTCATTTTGATTTTGTCGAACTGAATTGACATTGGAGTTGGGGCCAGGCCTTGCATCGATCAAAGTCATCGATGGGACAGAAGAGTTGCGGGCTCAGCGACGCCAAAATCGCCCCAGATGGGTCATTTTGAAACGGGGGAAGCAACGAGAAACCGCTATGGTTGGGGTATCTGAGTCATTCTGAGTCCCTGAGTTTGGAGCATTTTTGGCATTTGGGGGATGGTTCCATTGAGTTTTGGGGTGTGCCAAAATATTTGCATTTTGTTTGATCGTAATATGGTCCCATCCTTACACAGTGCCTCCGAAAAACACCACACCTGGCCCATTGCGCTGTCCACGGATCTGGGTGTCCGTCCCAGTGTCATGGATATGGTTCCTGGGTCTTCGCAGATTGACCTCCAAAAATGATCACATCAGCCAACGGTTACCTGGTGGTTTGGTTTGCTCTAGAATCCCAAGCCACCCAGTTCAAAACTGGCTGCTATGATACTTATTGAGGAAATGACAGTATGATTATTTATGTGTGTCAGTCCTTGTATGATAGGGCTTGACATCCATTTACTTGATACTAAGATTACATAAGATTACAACAACACAGTCCCAATACGGTAACCGTGTCAGTGGGCAACAGTGTCAAGTGCTCATAAAAGAGGCTAGGATTGGGTACTCAATGGCTTGCCCCGTGCCAATTTTCCATCATTTTCCCATGATATGGTGCTGAAACTACAATTCCCAAGTAAATTATTTCAGTACCTAACTCCCTATGATTTCTTTGATATATTTTCATGAATTTGTTCTTTCAATCCCAATTTTGTTGGAATAGGAGCTCCGAGTTCTGTTAGTTATTGCTTGAGTACTCCGCTATTCACGGCTAAAACCACTTAAATCCCAACTATTTTGTGAGAACATTTCCCATGATTTCATGAGATTTCCTATGATTTCATATTGATTTCCCATGATTTCATATTGATTTCCTATGATTTCATATTGATTTCCCATGATTTGTTGACAGGTAGCGTGCCTAAGGGCAACTTGGCGCAACGGGGCGTCTCCGGTTTGGCGGAGGGCGTGGATAGCCTCACTGGTGGAACTTCTGCGCAGCACTTCGTGGATCGCAACGGCCTAGGTGGGATCCGGTTGGTGGTTTGGAACATACCATCTGGTTATTTAACATAGCCATGGAAAATCACCATGTTTAAGAACGGTAAACCATCTATTTCTATGGGTACCATAAATATGTTTGTTGATTACTTAATGACATACTTAATGACATACTCAATGCCATACTATGACTATGTGTGTTGATTACTTTATGTCACTATTATGTAGTATTACATATGTCACTATACCATCTGTTTATTTGACATAGCCATGAAAAATCGCCATGTTTAATAGGTAAACCATCTATTTCTATGGGTCATCTATACCATGGCGAACTGTTAAATAGCCAGAGGGTATATCGGGAGTAATAAGCCCAACTGACGAAGTCCATCATTTTTCAGAGGGGTAGGTTGAAACCACCAATCAGTTATTGTTGCTGTAATAAACGTAGGGTGGATCGTAAGAATTCGTCCAAGGTTATGGTTACACAATCATGGTTCATCAAGAACTTTTTGTTTGAAAACTCGTCAATATGAATAAGGGCATAGCATCGAAGACGAGAAGCGTAATTTACTGTACTTTCTGGTTTTTTAGACATATGTTGATGTGGTTTTCCATGTTGAAAGGAGAGAGCTGGGTTTAAGCCAAAAATGGCACGGTTAGTTGGGTCAAGCCATTGGGCTGGTCATTTCTAATGTGGAAACAATGCATTTTTGCTGGTATGAATCTGACCTAGTGACCAATCGTAATATAGTGAAGATAGGTAAGGATAGGTAAGGTCTGTGGGCGTTCTGTGAAGATCTTGCGAAACAATCCCTCAATCCCTTGCACCTGGTGATTTCACGCTGGAAACATGCGAAACTATGTGAAACTGGGATATGTCATGGATTTTCATAGGATGCATACCCCAAGTCGGTCTCCTTCAACTTTTTTCTGTTGGTCGATTTTTCTTACCATGGAGTGTCAGAAAAACTTCATTTTTCTTGCTGAACAAAGTCCCGAAAATTACTTGGGATTGTCATTGATGGGACGATTCATACCAGCTAATTATAACGTTTTGATTGTCCCAGCTATAAAAACGTTTATTGACTTCGCGGATCAGCCATGGACCTCATCCCAAACCCATTTTGGGATCCGTAGGAACACCGAAACATGGACCTGTTTGGAAGCTGCGATCCTGGGATGTCCGAGCGCTGAGATCTTTTGGTGTTGCTGTTCGTTGAGTTTTTTTTTGGCATTTGAATAATTAGAATCATGATAGTACGTATCGTGATAAATAAATGACACTCGATGATACTCGTAATAATAATGCTATAATGATAATGATAAGATATGATAAGAATGAACATGAAAATGAATATGACAATCATGGTATATTGTAATCATCATCATCCCCAGTGGCATTTTCCATTCGCCTGGTGATTTATCAAACGTGGCCTAGATCCTGGCGAAGGATGAGTGCGAGCCATGGTTGGTCCGGGTTTCTCAGGGTAGGGGATATAGTTATCACTGGTAGAGTTATGATGATTGTAGTTAATATGGTTATAGATGGTTATAGATGGTTATAGATGGTTATAGATGGTTATAGATGGTTATAAATGGTTATAATTACCATGGTTCCAAATTCAATTTTTATACATTTAGTGAAGATATGTATATAGACTGTTTATACATTTATGATCATTTATGACATAATTTCTCATGGTTTATTAAAGTATATAGTAATCTCTAGTGGGGAACTGATCGACTTCCAATGAACTATGCCCAACTATACCATGTATAAAACGTTGCAAAACTAGCATGGACCACCATTGCATCAAGGATATGGTGAGAGGATCAGCATAGAAGACCTGGTTTCTGATGACTTCACATCCTTGGATGTCGGTGTTTTTTCGGGTCACGAAGTTGCAGACATACTGCAAAGTACCCCCTGGTAAACGTTTACAAAACTATGGAAAATCACAATTTTTAATGGGAAAATCAACTATAAATGGCCATGTTCAATGTTCAATAGCTATGTTAAATTACCAGAGGGTAAACCCGTGGTTGATCAATCGGATTCGGAGAGGTTACCCCAGAAAGTAAGGTCACTTGTTGCTCAACATTGCTAAATTGATATCCCCGCAACTTTTTAGTCAGCCCAGGGGGTAACTTTCAACCCGGGTTGATATTGATATTGCCCAACCCAACATGGGTTTTTCCATGAGTCCAAGAATAAGGCATTCATAATTATCCAACATGATCCAACATGGCAATTTGAATGGGGAACACGATATAGAACACAAAATGTATATATATATAATATACTATATAATAGAATATAAGAGAGTATAATAGAATATAATATGAAATAATTTAATGTAATATAATATGAACAAATATAATATAAAATAAAATAATATAATATGAAACAATACAATATTATTATAATATATTATAATATAATATATATGTAATACATATAATGTTCTGTAATGCCTTGGATTTGGGGGTGCCCTATTTTCACTTCCTGCGCTCAGATTGGCTATGCTCTGGGAAAGTTCAGAGGCACCGCCTGGGGAACAGTTTCAGTGATTGGGATCAGCTGGGATCATCAATATTTAATACTATGAATAGTATCAGTATAGTATAATTACTATCATAATCACTATATATGTATAGTAATACTATGTATCATATCACTATCATAATCAGTATAATAGTATGTATTATTGATGATCATGGTATTTTAGGATAATATGATAATAGCATCACTACTATGAATAGTATCAGTATAGTATAATTACTATCATAATCACTATATATGTATAGTAATACTATGTATCATATCACTATCATAATCAGTATAATAGTATGTATTATTGATGATCATGGTATTTTAGGATAATATGATAATAGCATCACTACTATGAATAGTATCAGTATAGTATAATTACTATCATAATCACTATATATGTATAGTAATACTATGTATCATATCACTATCATAATCAGTATAATAGTATGTATTATTGATGATCATGGTATTTTAGGATAATATGATAATAGCATCACTACTATGAATAGTATCAGTATAGTATAATTACTATCATAATCACTATATATGTATAGTAATACTATGTATCATATCACTATCATAATCAGTATAATAGTATGTATTGTTGATGATCATGGTATTTTAGGATAATATGATAATAGCATCACTACTATGAATAGTATCAGTATAGTATAATTACTATCATAATCACTATATATGTATAGTAATACTATGTATCATATCACTATCATAATCAGTATAATAGTATGTATTATTGATGATCATGGTATTTTAGGATAATATGATAATAGCATCACTACTATGAATAGTATCAGTATAGTATAATTACTATCATAATCACTATATATGTATAGTAATACTATGTATCATATCACTATCATAATTAGTATAATAGTATGTATTATTGATGATCATGGTATTTTAGGATAATATGATAATAGCATCACTACTATGAATAGTATCAGTATAGTATAATTACTATCATAATCACTATATATGTATAGTAATACTATGTATCATATCACTATCATAATCAGTATAATAGTATGTATTATTGATGATCATGGTATTTTAGGATAATATGATAATAGCATCACTACTATGAATAGTATCAGTATAGTATAATTACTATCATAATCACTATATATGTATAGTAATACTATGTATCATATCACTATCATAATCAGTATAATAGTACGTACTATGGATGATCATGGTATTTTAGGATAATATGATAATAGCATCACTGCTATGAATAGTATCAGTATAGTATAATTACTATCATAATCACTATATATGTATAGTAATACTATGTATCATATCACTATCATAATCAGTATAATAGTATGTATTATTGATGATCATGGTATTTTAGGATAATATGATAATAGCATCACTACTATGAATAGTATCAGTATAGTATAATTACTATCATAATCACTATATATGTATAGTAATACTATGTATCATATCACTATCATAATCAGTATAATAGTATGTATTATTGATGATCATGGTATTTTAGGATAATATGATAATAGCATCACTACTATGAATAGTATCAGTATAGTATAATTACTATCATAATCACTATATATGTATAGTAATACTATGTATCATATCACTATCATAATCAGTATAATAGTATGTATTATTGATGATCATGGTATTTTAGGATAATATGATAATAGCATCACTACTATGAATAGTATCAGTATAGTATAATTACTATCATAATCACTATATATGTATAGTAATACTATGTATCATATCACTATCATAATCAGTATAATAGTATGTATTATTGATGATCATGGTATTTTAGGATAATATGATAATAGCATCACTACTATGAATAGTATCAGTATAGTATAATTACTATCATAATCACTATATATGTATAGTAATACTATGTATCATATCACTATCATAATCAGTATAATAGTATGTATTATTGATGATCATGGTATTTTAGGATAATATGATAATAGCATCACTACTATGAATAGTATCAGTATAGTATAATTACTATCATAACCACTATATATGTATAGTAATACTATGCATGGATCATCGGAACAAAAGGCATGACAAATAGTCAGCTGATATGGTATTGAGTATGTAATAATCAATAATATACTATGAATGATAGTTATACAGTCAGTATTGATTATTACAACATGCTTGATTATTACTGATGAACACATACTGTAATCGTAATCCCAATGCTGATATAGAATATAGAATCAGGATGTGGATATATCAAGCTAATATAGAGGATTTGTTTCTCAGGAGATATTTGTATCTCAAGTCCACTATATTTGATGCTTTCAAATACCCGTATATACCTAGAATGATTGGGGTTTGAATTGAATCATGTTGAAACCTACTTTCCGAAGATGGATATGAAAACGATACTCTCAGAGAAATACACCACCAATCCTCGGTAGTTGCTGCATGGAAAAATCTGACCGCAGCGAAACCGCTGTCCAGGTGCCAACCGGGAAGCCGAAAAGCTGACGTATCGGCTCATGCCCGGCCCGTGCCCGTATTGGTCATGGGCACACTTATCTATATGGATATTTAGTTGGTTACCCAACCAGACTCTGGTACTATAGGGATGGCTTTAGGACTTATGTTGTATTGATCTTATATGATCTTATACTCACATGTCATTTATGGACATAGTGGTTGTATAACATAGAACAATGACATCGATTTGTATATCTTTCAGTGATATCGGCCCTGCTAACCATGGTCCAGCAGTGCCATGGAGATGGTTTGAAACATGGCAGTTGTCACTGCAGGTACTGGGGATTGCTACAAAAGCTAGATCAACTGACGGAGCCCTTAGCCGTGCGCTCGGCCATGGGCAAACTGCCCAGTAATGAGCCTTGGAAAATTGAAGACGTAGCAACGCACGGGCGAAACATCCACGGGTTGTCAGATGGAATCATGTTGTTGTCTCATTGTGTGTAAAAACAAACTGCTTGGATTTGGGATGTGAGTGGATGGATGGATGGAGGGATAGATAGATACCAAATATGAAATGTCATGAGATGATCTGATCTTGTCTGATATAATATAATACATATGATACAATTAAATATTTTTTAATACATCATATTTTTTGCAACTGTTAAATATTTAGTTTAATATAATATATATATATACTGTATATATAATGTAGTCGCATATTTTGCGATATATGTGAATCCCATCACCACGGTGACACGATTGGAGAATGTGGAAAAAAACCAGAGGAAACGGTACCATGGGAGACCCAGCAACAGGTGGTATGAGGTCTGAAGATCGGGTCCATTTTCAGCTACCCTCTGGTAAACATACAAAAAACTATGGAAAATCACCATGATTCATGGGAAAATTTTCTATAAATATCTATAAATGGTGATTTTCAATAGCTATGTTAAATTACCAGAGGCTATCTTCCATTGTGTACAATCTACGTATCGGTTGTTGTTGACTTGTCCCACGGTATCCCATTCTGTGCCGATCTGTCTCGTTACCTTTAGAATAAGCATTTGTAGGGCCATTTTTTGGGTTTTATAATAATGAAGCCATTTATAATAAGCATTTACTTTATAATCATGAAATCCAATCCTCTATTCTTTTTAAATGGTGAACAAGCATCACATTGTTCGCCGCATGTCCATCCATTTCCGTTGAAACGATCCATTCGTTGGTCCCAGGATGACGTGCGACGCCTCGCCAATGTGATGACATCCATCGACGAGATCAAGCAGGACACGTCTATATTTATCGACAGATCTAAACAGACATTGGATAACCAGAAAACATTTAGTAGAATATAGTAAATATAGACATCAAATATGGACATTATATAACCATCATCACAGTGTTGCTCAAGAACGTTGAAGAATGTTTGTCCCTTACACACTACAAATTCAAGCTCCCCGATTACACTTGAGTGGTGCCACCCAATTGTCCCTCCAGCGCTTCCCAGTAGCCGCTGTGGCCAGGGCAGCATGTGGGACACCGACATGACAGACCAAGGTGCGAGAATGTGGGGCGAACTCTCACACGATGAGGCCTTGAGAATTGTCTGGAACTCAGGCATGTGGTAATGGGATTGCAGGCAAAACTATATGCAAAACTTGGTTTTCAAAAACTGCAAGAAACAACATCTTTGGATTTTAAGAGAGGTCTTGAATATCTTGAATGTCCTGTCTGCACCCATTTGGTTAAACTAGAATTCGAGTGTGCGGACCAATTTCCAATTCAATCTAGTTGGCACCACCTTGCGACTCGCAAGTATGGTAGTATGGTACCCCCCAGAGATGGGATGACATGACCAAGCCATTGATCCTGTCAAGGCTCATGCCATCCGCCGGGTGCAGTCTTTCGCGCACTTTCTCTTCTCTGCCCGGTGGCGCAAAACCGCGCGATGTTGCGTTGAAATGGGGGCACCAAAGGAGCCAGCATGGGATTGGTAGAATTTGAACAGAACTTGGAGTCAAAATTGAATAGTCCCAACGCCTCTCTTTGAAAAAGCGCAATTTTTCCCAATGAATGGCCATGAAATGGGACATAATCAGAAGAGTGGCTTCAAGGCACTGAGGTGCATGCCGAACTCATTGCTTTGAGTCTAACCAGTGGTTGTTTTTTCCAGAAAGATATTGATTTCTCCTCCATCCCAACCGGAGACGATGAAGCGAAGACGGGGAAGATCTGGGTCCCCAAGATGCTGGATAAGTGGCCTTGGGATGGATCCAATAACGCGAGTGTGGCGGAGGTATTTTTTATTATTTTTCCGTACAACGCAACAGAAAAACCAGGAAAAAACCTGAAATAATCAGTATTGTACTTCTGTGATACAGTGATATGCATCAGGTAATATCGCTTAAAGTGCCAGAGTCTCAGAGTCAAAGACAAATGATCATGTGTATTAGATATTGGTCTGAACATGGGCTAGACCTTAGTAACACCCTCCAAATAGCCATTTAATTACATCATTGATATTAAATTTAAGGGCTGCCGCCCCTGCCGCCGACCCCGGTAAAGAATCGGGGATTGCTGGTGAAACAGGCAAGCTGTGTGACGAGAAACTTTGGCAAATGCATTATCACATGCAGGATCATGCACGAAGGGCTATGTGCGTGACGAAGACAAAGACGCAGAGCAACAATGCGTTCCATGCACACGATCCAGCCGCAGTTCGTCGGGCAATCAAAGCTTTAAACACAAAAAAAGCCGACAAAGTTGCAGTTCGAAAGATTCCCACGCGGGGCACATGCGAAGCCGAGGCACGAGCAACATGTGAGAAAGTCGATGCCTTCCTACGCGACTTGCGCGGAACGAGCAAATGCAATCCGGAACAGCTAGCATTCATCGAAACCATCTGCGCCCGGGTGAAACACGAAGCTGTGTCCGGACAAGAGCGCGGCGGCGCGGCAGACACCAACACCGAAGCGTTGCGCTGGGCGCTTCATGGCGGCCCAGGCACAGGTAAGTCATACGCGTTGAACATAGCACGGCGCGATTTGTTCGAGGAGTGCCTTGGATGGACAGCAGGAAAGGAATTTCAAGTTGTCGCATTTCAAGCTGTCAATGCCGAGCCTTTGGACGGCGAAACTATGCATCAAGCATTGGGGTTGGCTTGGCACGGCAACGATCACAACGTCGACGCGCAAAGGATTCTTAATCTTGCACAACAGGCCGTGCAGTGGCGCTGGCTGCTGATCGACGAAATCAGCATGGTGAGTGCTGAGATGTTAGCGCGTCTCGAAGCTCGCTGTCGGCAACTTGTTTTAGATCTATCTGCCACAAAATATGGCAAACATACCCCTGACTGCATTGCACCCTTCGGTGGCCTCAATATCATTCTCTCGGGCGACCTGTGGCAGCTACCTCCACCGCGTGGAACGTTTCTCGGTCAAATTCCCTGGCACCTTGTGACAGGCGTCCCACCTAAGAAGTTGCCACTGAGTTTGCAAGGCCAACAGCTCGTATGGGCCTCCAGCGCACAGGGTGGCTTACAAGGAGTTACCGAATTGGTGCGCTGCGAGCGAACCCAAGACGTGTGGCTCCAGGACCTGCAAGCAGAACTTCGCGTGGGGCACTTGTCCGAAGACAACCATGCATTCTTGCATGGTCGACCAACAAAGGTTCCAGGAAGTTGGTGCGCTAGGACGCAACGGCCTATGTGTCAAGAAAACATATGTTATCAGTTGTACAAAAACGCCTCCACAGCGACAGCGATTCTCAAGTACGAATGTCCAATCTGTCACGCTGAGCGGGATACCAAGCGTCTAGTTGCCGTGGACGCAGACGATCCTCGCTTCGTAGAAGGTTTCAGCATGGCGCGGGGGATTTTTCACACGAACGGGGTGAAGTGCCACGTAAATAAATTGCGCGCAGAACAATGGGCGCGACAGCGCGGGCAAGTCATCTACTATGCAGTGGCTACGGACAAAGTTTCATCGCGCGCTTTGCACGAGAAACCCGACATTGCCCACGACAAGCTCATGTGGCTGCAGCGCAGCGACGCTGACTGCGGCAACCGGTACGGCGTCCTTCCACTGTGCATTGGTATGCCAGTGCAAGCGCGAGAACATCTCTACCGAAAGGAGTTCAAGATTTTGAAAGGGTGTCATGGAACAGTTTGCGGGTGGTCTCGCGTTGAAACAGAAACAGCGTCGGCAGATGGAGCAGTCATTTGGAACAAACTTCCCGAGTATATCTTTGTGCGTTTTGAAACACGCACACGGTGGACTATCCCAGGCATCGATCAAGAGAACGTCTTCCCAGTGAGCGTGCAAAGTGGAATGTGGTTTTTGGACGCGGGCCGCACCAACCCACAATTGAAAGTCACCCGGTGCCAATTTCCCATCGCGCCCGACTTCGCTGACACGTTCTACGGCGCGCAAGGAAGCACAATAGAGCCGGGCGTGATCGTTGACATGGTCGGTGCTGACCCAATAGCGGCGTACATTGGGATGACGCGGAGCCGCACACGACAGAAGATCTTGATCTACCGTCCGTTCCCGCTGGCACCTTTTCAAGCAGGTCTGCCGCTCGGACGGCAACTGCTGCTTGATGTGTGGAAACAGGAGCCGGTGGACTGGGACGCGTTGCGCAAGAAGTACTTGGATGAAAGGCCGTGCTACGAATGTGGGGAGATGAAGCGCAAAGATGCGTTCACCAAAGCACAATGGAAACAGGAAACCTACCGCGTCTGCAAAGAATGCACCGCGCAGAAGCGCGAGGCAGGCACACCCTACCGCTGCACACAGTGCGGCCTCTGGCACGCTGCATGCCACTTTGCAAGCAAGCATCAAAATCCGCGGTGGAGTCTTTACAGAGTTTGCTTATCGTGTGATGCAATGAAACAATGTTTTTCTTGCACGAAGAAGCTCACAAAAGAATATTTCACTGTGCCAGCATGGAAAGCAAGCAAACCAGAGAGGAGGGTATGCTTGCATTGTCAAAAAAAGGGAAAATGGAAATGCGCACACTGCCACCGAAAATTGCCAGCGCAACAATTTTCCCATTACAGCAACATGCGCCCCGGCGGCGGCCAGAATGGCAGGCAAACGTGTAATGCTTGCCGTGCCCTTGTCGTGCAAGCGACTCTCCGTAAGCAGGCTGCCCGATCCAGCTTACAACGTCTACAACCTTTGCGCAAAAGGCTTCGCCTGCGCCAAATTCTGCGCGAAACGTGGGAATCAATTGCCGAGAACTTGCGCGCTAAAGAGGAGAAAGCCACCACTGCAATCGATTTGCCAGAAACCACAAAAGAGGACACGAAAGGATGCCAAGAAGGAACAAATACCACACTACGAACGTATGTCTGTCCAGCTTGCGGCAAAGCAACAAAATCCACCATAGTTACCGGAAAGGTGCAAACACAAGGACACTGCGGGCGAGAGTTTCGTGTCAAGAATGGTGCAGTATCTAGGCAGTATGCCCATTATTGCCCGACCTGCAACACGAAGGTGGCATCAACAAAATCACACGGACGAATCCAATCGAAACACAGAAATGACACAGGACGATATTGTAAAACATATCAGTGGACCAGTGCCGGCGCAAAGTAAGTTTTTAGATTTAAACAATTATTCTCTTCCTCCTCCTCCTCCTCCTCCTTCTTCTTCTCCTGTTGTTCTTGTTCTTGTTTTTCTTGTTGTTGTTGTTGTTGCTGTTGCTGTTGCTGTTGCTGTTGTTGTTGTTGTTGTCGTTGTGGTTGTTGTTGTTGTTGTTGTTGTTGTTGTTGTTGTTGTTAATGTTGTTGTTGCTGCTGCGGATGTTCGTGCTCCTGCTCCTCGTGCTGCTGCTGCTCGTGCTCCCGCTGCTGCTGCAGACACCTTTTTCGAAGCACAGCTGAAACGGCAAAACACCACCTAATTTCGTGCGGTTCGGTAATGAAGCAAAGCACCACCTAATTTCGTGCCGAAAACGACGCAAAAGCAGTTGCAATAACAGTCCCCGGAGGCTGGAACGTCCCTTCGGAAATCCGCTTAGAACTCCAATAGAATCAAATTTTGACTGCTGCTGCTAGTGCTGCTGCTGCTGATACTGCTACCATCAAGTTTATGTTCCTGCACTGTGTCCAATGCCGCTTGCAGTTTGTTATGTTCCTGCACTGTGTCCAATACCGCTGCTGCTGCTACTGGTAGTGGTGGTGGTGGTGGTGGTGGTGCAGGTGCTGGTGCTGGTTGTTGTTGTTGTTGTTGTTGTTGTTGTTGTTGCTATTTTGCTGTTGTTGTTATTGAGCAAGGAAGCTGCTGCTCCTACTGTCTGCTGGCTACTACCCGCTGCCTGCTGGCTGCCTGCTGCTGGCCTGCTTACTGGCTGATGGCTCCTGGCTGCTGACAACTGGCTGCCTGCTGCCTGCTTACTGGCTCTGGCTGCTGCTGGCTGCTGGCTGCTGCTGCTCTTGCTCCTGCTGCTACTGCAGACACCTTTTTCGAAACACAACCGAAACAGCAAAACACCACCTAATTTCATGCCAAAAATGACGTAAAATCCGTCGTAATAACAAATTCCCCGGAGGCCGAAACAGCCCTTCTGAACTCCGACTAGAAATCCTGACTCCTGCTGCTGTCTAAAGCAAGAAACTAGCAGCCTAACACCATTTGCGAAACATAGCCGAAACCAAAACACCACCGACTTTCGTGCCGAAAATGACGCAAAAGCAGTCGCAATCACAAGTTCCCCGGAAGCCAGTTGCAATAACAAGCTTCCCGGGGGCCGAAACGTCCCTTCTGAAATCCTACTAGATTACTAGAAATCCAATTGTGTCCAATTTTTTTCTCAAATTTTGATTGCTGCTGCTACCTATAATAAAGCAAGAAACCAGCAGCCAGAGACATTTTTTAAAACAGCCGAAACAGCAAAACACCACCTAATTTCACACCGAACATGACGCAAAATCAATCACAAGAATAGGTTTTCGGGGGCCGAAACGTTCCTTCTGAAATCCTACTAGAAATCC